TTCATATGTTACTTCAGATTATCTTCAGTGTCCACCCACCTTTCCTTTAAGATCATTTACATGTATCAGAAATGCCATTAAGTTTGTAATCTGAATCGAGGTTTTTCATTGAATAAAAAAAAAAAACAAAAAACCCTGGAAAGTACCTGGGAACGAGTCGCTTCTGCTATGAGGCAAAGGATAAAGCAAAACAGGCCGCAGAGAATGGTTAAAACCACGAGTACAACACCAGTTCTGCTGCCCAATTCAGTCCTTCTACGACTTAATGCAAGATCAGCATGCGTGACAGCCACTGTTTTAGGCATTTTAGGAGTCTAAAACAAAGAGAATTCATCCAGGTTTAGGAACAAGACAACATGGGATTAAATGGTTTGCACTGCAAAAAGTGACAGAACTATAGAATTACTTGGAGCAAAGGTAGCTTAAAGGCCAAGGATTCCAAACTTCTGGGCTTTACTGTTAAGTATTCACCCAAGGAAGATTGTCGGTTCTAAAATTTCGGTTTAAAAACCATATTCTGCATATAATAATATATAATATATTTATTTAGGGACAAAAGTCACAGGTCTCAAATTGCTAGCTCATCTCTCATCATCCTCGGATCAAAGTGCATTTCTTGTCCTCTCTTTTATGAGCCTTGTGCCTTAGGCTGCTGGCTTGGGCTTATTGGCACTGACCCAAACAAAATGGGTCTTATATTGAAAAAAGGCCTGCTGTTGAAAATTTTTAATGGGCCCAAGACAAGGCCTTATCAAATTTGTTGTGTAAAATCCAAAACATAGAGAGGGAAACAGAAGCTGGGGTCAAATGATTTTTATTTTTATTTTTTATTTACGGAGACTAAGGATGGTGAGATTGATTTTGATGAAATTAAAAATAATAATAATTATTATTATAATTATGATTGAAAAAAAAAGTTATATAATAGTGTTTGAAAAAAATTTTTCAATGAAAATTTTATACCAAATAAACTTTATTAGAATTAATATTTAAATTTAACCGGTAATGATTGAAATTTAATTATATCTCATTGAAAGCGCAGTTGCATCCAAACATGCTATAAGGAGTGACCTTGCCACTCTCTTAAATCTTTAATTATACTTGAAGTTGAATTTAAATTTTTTTTAATCGAAATTTATCTCATATTTAATCCATTTAAAACAAGCTTAAGTGATTTAAGTTTCATGTAGCCACTTTACAATTGAATCCAGAAAGATTTGTACTTTCAATTTTAAGTCAATTTTTTTTTTGAGAGTTATATTACTTTCCTTATGAATTTTTCTTTAAATATTTGTATTTTTTGACATGACATGCAATTACCGGATAAAGATTAAAATAGAGGTTTATCAATTCATAAATAAAATCAATTGGTTCATAAATGAAATATATTACCATGGAATCAATAACTTATTAGAGTTGTTCTATTTCATGTAAATTACTGATAAATCATTATTCATGATTAATGGAAATAGAAAACAAAAGAATTCAATTTTTAATTGTGAAAATTCGCATTCAACTTATGAAATATTATTTACTTTGATCTGAAGATTTCACGCCACAAAAAACCTCTCATAGATTTGAATTTAAGTCGATTTTATCTCACAAAAGAATTTCACAGATTTGAATTTAAGTCTTTATATATATATATATATATATATATATATATCTTAATAGATCCTCAAAGTATTTTGATGTGAAATTGAGATATTATAAACTCCTTCCGTTAAAGTTTGATGTTCCTGTCAAGCTTGACATAAAGCACATAGATCCATCAAATCAATTCAAATGTGATTCTTACGGTGTAATACTTAGTTCTTGTCCAACTAATGATTATTTTAATACCGTTTGTGAAAACTCACACCTAATCTGCAATACAAAACACATAGATATATCGAATCACACCAAACGTGACTCTCACTGTGTAGTACTTAGCTCTTGTTTAACTAATGACTGTTTTGATACTATTTATAGAGACCCACACCTAACCTGTGAGGTATTTCAATTTTGATCCGAATGTCTCACGATTTTGTTCCACAAAAAACACTTCATAAATTTGAATTTAAATCTCAAACTTATATATCATAACAAATTTTCATAGTCTCTTGATATGTGATTGTGGTGTCACATAAATTTAGTTGATTTATTATATGTAATCAATTTTAAAAGATAATATTAAATAATTTTGAAATTCAAATTTTAACATCCATAGCATTTTTTTCTACATCCAAATTGTGATTTTTTTTTGGTAAAACAAAAAGAAAGAAATTGAAAGAAAAGAAAAGATGAGGTGGACAAAAGAGGATGTATTATTTAGTTGACCTCACAATAATAAAAACAAAACATAAGCATGGTGTATGCCTAAGCTTTGTACGACAAAAATGAGCAAATTACGGGGCCACATTGTCACGTTTGGTAGTAAGTGACTAGTGATGTAGCATATTTCTATTCTAGTGGACCATTTAATTTAAGTCGTTTCAATTACCAATTTTAATGGTACTAAATTTTACATGTAATGTGTTCATATATAACACAAACCATCCAAAAGTCTTGGAACAATAATCAGTTTATTTTTTAATCTAAAATGAAAACGGATTTCATTTAATTATTAAAGTTTCATTTGATTGAAAACATTCACTTAAAAAAAAAAAAAAAGAAAAGATAGAATATGAGATGGATCGATTCGAAACCTGCAAGGTATGTGTCCAAACTTTGAAATTCATGGAATCGCAAGGTTGTGAAGCTGGTTGAATCCAATATTGTCACTTAAATCATGAGACATAGTTCATAGTGAATTAATTTGAAGAATTCAAAAGGTTACCTATTAGTAGGTGAGAAAATTTTGCAAAAATTAAAAATTAATTTAAAATCATAGTGTTTGGTTTGATTCAGATTGATTTTTTTATTTGATTTAGATTAAGTTTGAATATGATATGTATATATTAATTTTGGATTAGATTTTGAATCATAATGTGAAAAATCAAAAAAATTAAATTGAACTAAATTTTATATTTTTATTGATATTTATATATATTTTAAATTTTTATAAAATAAAAATAATTATTTTATATAAAAATATATTTAAATGTATTAAAAATCTTATTAAAATAATATAAAAAAATAAAAAAATAAAATTTAAAAATTGATAAACCAAAGTAAATAAAACCAATAAATTCGGTTCAAATTAAATCGATTTAAAATTAAAATCAATTTAAATTCAAATCAAATTTTAATAGTTTAAAATATTATGTATTATTTAAAAAAATTGAATTAAATTCAATTCAAACCGTTATTATTCCTATGTATGATTTTTTTTTAATAAAAAGGTAACATGATTTAACTTAGGCATTTGGGAATATGTGGCCTTGCCTCATAAGAAAAAAAAAAAAAGGCAAAATAACTAATCACAGGCCCTGATCATGTTTTCCTACCTGATCATCTCATTGCCGGACCCTCGCACGAACTCGATCGATCTCTCCAACCTGGCTACATCCATCCACTTTTTGAGTGTTATTTCGTCTACATACTATATATACTATCAATGTTTGGTCCAGATCCACTTGCTCTTAAGACTGTTCCATCGTGTCCTGTTAGAGAAAATATGTCCATGTAACAGTCCAAGCTTACAGGGCCAATATGTACAAGCACTTGATGGATCAAAAGCTTTCGAAATTATTAGAATTGTTTGGACTACCAAACGCCTAGACAGTGAGGATTGAGTAGAATTATTGATATGATCTTGGTCCTATATAACAAGCAAAAAAAAAAAAAAGTAACTATAGTGCTACTGTATGTTATTTGTATGGATGCTTTGGATATCATATCGTGACACATGTAATTATTTGTAACAGTGTTGAAGAATAAAGAAAAAGGCAAAACAGATGTTTTGTTTCTTCAATAATTAGAAGATGTTTCTTTTAATGAACTCCACATTAAGTAGATAAAGGATATACATTTTCATGTTACACATCTCATCATAATACATACATACATATATGTTATATATATATATATATATATGCTCACGTACTCTCAGCATAATTTTCCTTTGCATGAAATGATATTCCATCTCGTCCCATTATGAAAATAATTGATTAATTGCATTCTATTTGCAATATATGACTAAACATTTTCTTCTTGGTGCTGTATGGGGGGCCATTTTCAGGCCATACCAAGCTCTGGTGTGTGCCCTTCTGATCGTCCATTCTTTAGGAAGTGAGTATCTAATCATCAGGTAAGCCAGAAGCATTAGTGCTTTCGATTTTAAATATGGGTTCAATACCAAAACGGCACTATCCAAACGCGATAAATGGATTTCTCTTGTGTTACTAAACCATCTTTAAGAAATTAAAATTTTAATATTTTTCTAGAGTTTTTCTTATAAACTTAATACTTTTGTTTGATGGGAAATGGTGAAGAAAAAATAAGAAGGTTAGTGGTTTTAGGCTAGCATATAGCTTTTGAAGTATAAATCTTCGGAGAGATTTTTCTCGGACACTTTCAATGGTTGTTGTAGTTTTCAAGGCATAAGCTAATTGTGAAGTCAAATGAGGTCGCCTTGTGGGTGACACTGCTATTATCTCAAGCTCTAGAAAGCATGCAGAATCATCCCGGGGAGCATCTCAGTGGCCGACCGTTACCAAGAATCATCAAGCATAATTTCTTGTTTTAGCAGTGTATAATGCTGCCCATGTTATTAGAAATTATAGTCCATTGCTTTCTCGAGGCAAATCAAGAAGCAAACGGTAACTTTATATGTTGATTTACCCTTTTATGATCAGACCAAAAATAGATTCAAATGTTTAGATTCTGACAATTTTAAGAGTGTATTTTATTCATAATTTTACTTTAGAAGTGTTTCCATAATAATCGAATCTTGATTGACAAGGAAAGAGCTCCTTTTTACCAATTGGACTATCCTTTTTATTGTTAACAAACACGACAAACCATGGGATGTTGAAAGGACATGATGCACGCGCTGAAAGCTTACAACTTTAGTGATATGTCTCCAGTTTCGCACGAGTGCTTGTCTTCTATCCAAGGAATTCATAAAAGGTATATTCACAGTAAACTTAACATCTGTGCATGTAGTTTCGGATATGGTTGTCACGCTTTGATTTTGAACAAAAATAATTTTTCAGTTTGAGGGGTATTTGCGTCAGTCTGCATGGCGGATGATCCCTCTATATATTTCTATGGATCTCCTAAAAATTAATACATCAGCAAGCAGTCCTTTCCTGTTGTTAATTAGCATGAGTGCACCAGAAAACAATGGCGCTGATGAGCCTGGTCCTGGAAGAAAACAATCTTCAACCCTGAAGCTATTCGGTTTTCCTGTTGCTGCTGCCTATGACAAAGAGCCTGTAATTGTTCCAGGTAGTGCTGATTACAAGAGATTTGAGTGCCAATTTTGTCACAGAGGGTTTCCCAATTCTCAAGCTCTAGGGGGCCATCAGAATGCGCATAAAAGAGAACGACGAGCAAAACAGGCCTCGTCTTTCAATGTTCATCATCATCAACAACAACAACGGTTCATGACGACTGGCCCTCTTATCACGGCGCATTCAGCTCGATCAAAGCGGTTGATTTATGCAAGAGGGTCCACAAGCGTGACCACAACTGATGCAGTTCGGCTTCGGGGTGTCTCAGCACCATCTTTGCCAATGCTACCTCTCAGGGGTCCTTGTCCCTCCCGTGTTGGCGGGGGGTCGCAACAAGGTAATGGACCTTTTCAAGTACAAACTCATGAAGTTGGCTTGGGCTCAACATCGGATTCATCAGTAGCAACACAAGTAAACGAAGAAGATAATATTGATCTCCATTTGCGGCTGGCAACATCCACCACTACTTCGAGATGAGCCACTGGTCCCTAGTAGATTGAGAACATATCTTGACTTTGAATTTTAGTCCTGGTTAGAGTCTGTTTACAAGCAAAAAATGTGGGTGTACGTGATTCTAGTTTGTCCAATTTTCGACTTCTACTCCAAAGGGGATTGATCTAACTGGCCATTAATTTTCTTCTTCACAGTTCAATTAATTGGTTAATTAACTGGCAAGTGATCTGTTTCTCTTGAGCCAAGATTTTGAACATCTTTTTCATTTTTTGGGTGGAAAGGAACTGTCCTTGAATCAGAGGGGCTTAAGTAACAGAAATACAGTTGAAGAGTAACTATACAGGTTTCAAAATCCATGGTATGCTCCAAGCCTCCAAACATGGAAACATTTCTGAAAGAAAAACAAATGAAAATCTAGAAATGCGTTTTTGCCGTGTAAAAACTGATCTATTCAACTTTAATTTAATCTCACCATGAAAATAATGCTACCAAAGCTAATCACTTGAAATTGTGATCAGATTGAGGTTTTGCATCCGTGATATGATATTAGAAACTCAGTGGCATAAAGTTATTAAGCTTGAATCTTACAATTCTTCATTTTTACAGGTGACACTTGGGGGATTAGCATTTGGTATTTGTCCATATGTTACCTCCCTAAAATCGTTAAGGTGTTTGACCCGATATAGATAAATCTACTTGGACCAGCTAGAAAGGAGACGAATTAGACAAAGCTCAGAAACCTTACCGCTTAACCAAAAATAAAATAAAATCGTTAAATGGCAGCACACTAACTTCATAAAACTGTATATATCATGAGCCTAGTGCTAAAGAATAGCTGAAAACAGGGAGAAATTCAAGGTCATCCAACCAAGTCTAACATTCTTCAAATTTTCAGTCTAATATTAGGGAATATGATGAAACGAAACGAAATGTTTCTGCCACCAACCAAAATTCCAAAAAAAACAAGACAGCTCTATGATTCAATAACACTAACATTTTTGGTAGTCTCCAATCTAATGACCTCAGATAACATAAACCAGTTTCCTCTCTCCTCATCTCCATAAAAGCCATCATTTTTGTGGGCAGAGCAATTATAATCTTCTTTGTTTTCCGATCTCTCTCTAAATCTCTGCCAAATTAGAAAATGGCAGATATTGCAAGAGAGATGGAAGACTTCAAGGCAGCAAACCGGACGTTTGGTGGTTCATCAAATCAACCATCATTGCATCGCGGTTCAGCACCGGCTCCTCCTCCTCAACCTATCTGTCTATCGACACCATCGACATGCAAGGACATGGACAAATATAGTAGGAGTTACTATAATTGTAATAAGTCCAACGTGACATGGGGCGATAGAGATTCTGAATTGAAGAGGCAACGTCGTGTGCTGAAGTACAAGTCCTATGCTGTTGAAACAAGATTAAAATCGTCGTTGGTGAATGGGTTTCGTTGGATGAAGAACAAGTATTGCGCTATTGTTCATGGCTACTAGGTTGCAATAGTGAAAAAATTTGGTGAAGAAACGTTTTATGAAATCTTTTTTCTTGCTCCAATATGACTGCCATTCGATGAAATTAAGGTTCATATTTTTATTTCTTGGGATAGTTTCCACGGTCTTTTTTGTTCATATTTAATGTTCTATTCCATTTCTCCTGACTTTTTGTTGGAATTAAAAAAAAAATTTCAAAACCCTGAACAGATTGAAATGTGAAAGACAAAGATTACATGTGAAATGAGAAGTAAATCAAGGAAGGACATGCAGATTTTTTTTTTGTAGATAAACAATTTACAAAATCAATATTTGTTCTTAACCAATATTGATATTATTATATAAGCACCACTGTTACTATTTTCAATTTCAACACAGCCAACCTGATAGAAATGGAAAACAGACCCATTGTCTTCTATGGAAAGTTTAAACCAAATTTTGGGCTGACATTTCCAGGCAGGTTGAAAAGGAAACAAGAGAGGAGTTTTACAGCTAAACACATTTTGCTTGGAGATTCAGATGAGCCTGATTGGTTAATTTCAAACAATGTTCATCTTATTACAGGCAAAATTGAATGCAGAAATCGTATTAATTATAGGAATATTTTAGAAAAATCCAGCATTTGTTGGTGGAGTTGGTTGTGGAAGTAGTCATTAAACATACCTGACAACATTGGCCTCTCCAATTCTTTCCCTTCCATAATCTCCATAGCTGACCAAATTTGGCCCACTTTGCAATTATTGAACCTGGCTACTTGGCAGTAGCAGCAATAGTACACCTTGAAATAAATTTTCTTGTGCTTGAAAATTGCAGCATGAAGATATAGTGACACTGTTTTTCCTTTTTAACAACAACTTATCTCCATTGCTTTTGAGGGAAATGACTTGTATTGTCGTTTGTTAGTATTTTTTTTTTTTTTTCATATGCAACTTGTCTTCTATCATAAAAAAGAATGACTATGATATGCATCTTTTAGACCGCCATTTAAAGGTAGCATTTGAAAGAGCAAAACAGAGATAGAAGACTCTGAAGAGAAAATTTTGTTTATTCAATACATGAAAATTTGTTTGATATTATTTAATGTTATTTGTATTTTTATAATCTTAATTTTTTTATATATAAAAAAGATCGCAACATAAAAAAAAAAATTATAAATGTTAAAATTTAAATTTCAAATTTATTAAATGTTACATTTTAAGAAGAGTTGCACGAATGCTATATATGAATTCAATCTTAATCTTGATCAAAATTTTATATAAATTAAAAGGTCCTAAAATATTAGGCTTCCTATTAAAATTTTTTTTTGCATGAAATCGTAAATGACGGAAATATTTTTTTCATAAATAAGGATTTTTTCTTTTAAAACTAGTGTACGAAGGAATAAGCTTAAAATCTTCAATCAAACTTTATTATAATCACAAATTTCGAACATAATCAAACCTAAAGATCAAGCCTTTAATTTTTGTTAACATTTCATATATTGAAATATGATGTTTTGAAAAATTTTTTTATGTGAAAAATCATGAATGATGAAAATGTCTTTTTCATAGATTTTAAAGGGTTTACAAATTTATATATACGTAAATTTTTAAAAGCTTATGAATTTACATATTCATTCTTAATTTGCATACTCATAAATTTTTAAAAGCTTACCCATGTGTTAATCTGAAAATTTTTTAAAAATAGGGGATGAAAAGAGAAATATAATTTATCAAATATTATTTAAGTAATTTTTAAACAATATTTTGGGAAAAAAATGTGGAAAGCATTTTTTGGGGTGCAAATATAAGCTCTCTCTTATCCCATTTGATGTTTCATTAGGCACTCAATTTACTATGTTACCCTCAAGCTTGGAAAAAAAGACATTGGACACGTGTACACAAAACCATCAAGTAGTACACAAAATAATCAAAACTGAGTTTTCTTTCTATCAGAAACCCGAGGACCATTCCAAAGTCTCCGTTCAGAATTTGAAATCGTGTCCCTCTCCAAAGAGACGTTATAGCCTTTTTAATTTTACTTCCTTATAATAAAACAAAATAATTTTTTAAAAACATTTTATTATTTTTTCAAAAAAAAAAACAAAACAAAATCCCATGTTGTTTACTCTCTCTCCATTTATTGCTGTTTGTCTATCTCTGTCTCTTTCCCACACTCAAAGAGGAGCGTTTCACTTTTGTTTCTCCCAAAAATCGCAAATTTAAGCATAACCCATAGCAAATTTCAGTATTTTCTCTATATTTAAGCTGTACCTAGAAAAATTTAGCTGCTTTTAAGCTGATCACATTCATTGGTTTCAATGTAAGCATTTTATCTTTGATTTAAAGTTTTGGGTTTTTGTTTTTGGGTGTGGCAAATGATTTTCTTTCGGATTGATTTATGTTTTTTTTCCTTATTGAATTGTTCACATGGGGTTTGTTTGGTGCTGAGAAAGTCTGGGAAAGGAGCAATGAAATTGAATTGCTTGGTACATTTTAGGAGCAATCTCTCTCTTCCCAGACAACCTTTTATTGACAGTATAATAGTTTTAGCGTTGTTAAATAGAGCTGAAGGGCTTTTGATTTACAGATTGGTTTAGAATTGGGATCTGAGGTGTTTAGTTTAGTAAAATGAGTCGATGCAATTAGTTTCTACCAGTTTTATTTTATCCCCCTTAGTACCATAGACACTTCAGCTGTTGAAGTTAAGGTCAAAGACAAATGCTAGATGCTATGATCTTTGCTTTTTCAATAGCAATGCTATCATGGTAAAGTTTAAGCAAAGATATAGACGCACATTTAGAGATGTTGATATGGCACAGTTTTGACTTTGTAAGTTGGTTTTCGCATGGAAATTGTGATTGAGTGCATTGTGATATATAGATCTAAGATGGTGACTATGGTAGCAGGAGAACAAGTGGTTTATGTGTTCATTTTGATTTGCTTCTACTGCCTTGTTTGTTTGACAAATTTTAGCTGTTTGAAGTTCTGCAATGTCTATTTAAGTGTGATGTGAAATGAAGACAGAGATACCTCATTTGAACATGTTAACTTGTTGCAGTTTTAGAGATCTTAAATTCAGGATAAGGAGGAGCTAGTTCGCTTTCATAAATAGTCTTCCAACTTCCCATCTAGGGATCCAGATAGACATCATATCTCCCATTTCATCTAAAAAATATTTACAGAAACTACACAAGAGAGCTTGGTGATTGGAGTGTTGAATAGCATTCAAATGCTCTTTAAAAAGTGATGGTGCTGAATTTCTTTCTCTGCTTTGAGCAGTGGAGATCTTACTAAGAGGAGTTATCTGACAAACTTAATATCTTATAGTGGTTTAGAATCTTGTAGGTGTTTATAATCTTGAGTTTGATTGTGTAAGAAATTCAATTTACTTGGTAACTGAACTGTTTGTTGTGTTTAATAACATCTACAGATGGATTTGGGTGGTGGAATGGAGTTACCATATCTCTTGTATCATTTGCTTCTATAAGTTGAGTAGCCCTGGATTCTGCTTTCACACAATGGGGGTTGACAAAGAAAGTTCGAAAAATGGAGGAGGTTATGTTGGTGGATTTTTTCAGCTATTCGACTGGACTGCAAAATCTCGGAAGAAGTTGTTCTCAAGCAAGTCAGATTTTCCAGGTATAACTGGCTACCCCGTGCAGATGAGCATGCAATATGTGTCTCAGAGTGCACGGCATGCATATGCAAGTGCAAATTATTTCTTGTACCATAATAGTTTTTATCTTTTGGTGGTTGCTAATGGGTTTTATTTCTTCAAACTTTTAGAGTGTTCAAAACAGGGAAAGAGAAGTGATGGGAACTTACCAATGACACGACTACATCTGGTGAGAACATGGCAATCCTGGATGATTTCTGGGTTGATCTTATTACACTCTTGACTGTGGTGATTTAATCTGAAACTGCTTTATAATTGTTGTTTTGACTATTGCAGACAGATGACGATGAAATTGGAGCAGGGACAAGCATCAAAGGTAGTAGTGATTATAGTTGTGCTTCCTCAGTTACAGATGATGATATATATGGAGCTAGAGCCCCTGGTGTAGTGGCCAGGCTTATGGGATTAGATTCCTTACCTACATCTTCTGAGCCCTACTCCACCCCTTTTTTTGACACTCAATCTCTTCGAGATGCTCATTTCCGAAATAGAAACCTTAATTATCATCATGACCAACGAATAGATTATCCTGGCGATCTGTTCAATAGGATGGAGGGCCCTTCCAGGAACTTTGTGGAGTCAAAGCCTCAGAAGATAGTCAGCAAGCCTATAGAGAAGTTCCAAACTGAAGGTTTACCTCCTAAGGCAGCTAAAACAATTCCGATTACCCACCATAAACTTTTATCTCCTATCAAGAGTCCTGGTTTTATTCCTTCTAAGAATGCTGCTCACATAATGGAAGCAGCAGCAAGAATTATTGAGCCTGGCCCCCAAGCTATTACTAGAGCCAAAATGCCTCTGGTTGGATCATCCTCAGTGCCTGTGAAAGTTCGTGATTTCAAAGAAAAAATGGAAGCTGCACAGAAAATGGCTCCGGTAGGATCTTCTTCTGTGCCCTTGAAAGTTAGAGATTTCAAAGAGAAAGTGGAGGCTGCAGATAAAACCTCCAGGCTCACTGAAACGACTAGAAGGCCAGTTGAGTCAAATGCTGCCAAGTATCTTAAAGGACAATCTTTGAGCAAGAGCTGGAATGGATCAATAGACACAACATCACCCAGGGCTTCTGATACAGAAGAAATTTCTTCTGTTTTAAAGAGTAACGCGAAGTCTATTTCACTCGCAATCCAAGCAAAGGTCAATGTGCAGAAAAGAGAAGGATTGACATCAAGCAGCAGCCGAAGTTTGTTATGGCAGAAAGACCAGAGTGAAGTTAAGTCAAATCAACCCTTCAAGAGCCAACCAAGTATTCAAAAGAGTTTGCGTAAGAAATCTTCCATGCACAATGCTCCTGGTGTACTCAGGCAGAACAACCAGAAGCAAAATTGTATAGTGGATAAAGACAAATCACCTTCAAAGCCCATAGGTTCCAACTTGCACGGTAGAAAAGTGCTCTCTGGGGATTCTGCTTTTGGGCAACACAAAACATCAGGTAAAACTGTTGTGAATTCCAAAACTGGCTCACGAAAGTTGGGCTTAGGTACAACAGATAGTGAAAAAGAAGGTCCATATTCTGGTACAAAGAAGCCAAGGAAGAAAAGAACAATTGATAGGGACTTCCATTTTGAGAAAAATCATGTTGTTGATAGTTTTATGATTGAAAAAAATCAGAAGGAAGATCATCCTATTATTGAAAGGAACTTTGGCTGGGTTGAAGATAGCAAGAAGAAAGGCATGGATGTTGTCTCCTTCACATTCACAGCCCCACTTACCCGGTCAATGGAAACATCTGCTCAGATTGCACAGAAAAATAACAGCATTTGCATGGATAATCAGGGTAAGAGATTGTTGCTTGACACCGAGAGTATGAAGTTGTCTTCATTGGGATGTAATGTTATAGGAGGAGATGCTTTAAGTATGCTTTTGGAACAAAAGCTAAGAGAATTAAGTAATGCAGTTGAATCATCCTGCCACAAATCTCTCAGTTCACGATCAGCTTCCAGTTCTACATCATTTTCACAAGATTTGCTGCATAGTACTCCTAATGCTGTTAGTACCGTGCCCATGTTACATGATAACCTGGCTAGTTCTTACAGTTCCAACCTTTCCTCTGCTGATCTTCAACTGCTCAGATTGAAACACAAGTTTCAGGTAAAAAAGACATAGCTTTTCAATTTTCTATGAAAAAACTACTTAAAATTTCTTTGTTTATTGTGCTTTATCTATATACTAGTAAATCTGCTGCTTGAATGTATCAACTTTCAAAGTTTTACATTTTCATCTCAAGCATGGGTGAATGTTGCTATGAAATGCATCAGAACTATTTTACAAAATGATAATTAATGCTAATATGACACATTCAGGGAATTGATGAGATGGATGAATGCAGTAGTAGCCATCTTGATGCAAGGCAACCTAGTCCAGTGTCTATCCTTGAACCTTCCTTTTCAACTGAAAGCTGCAACTCTTCAGATAGCACAGATGGTTTCAGTATAGAAGGTAGAGCTAGTGGCTTATCCTTTATGTTCGTTATCAAATCTTTAGGTATACTAATTTGTATCTCTGATACAATTTTAGGAAGCAAGCAGTGTTCATCTGTTCAAGCTCAGGAAGTTCTTGGACTGAGTTCTTTAAAGAAGTTACAAGCACTTGAAGCTGACGCAGAGTTATCAGATTCAGCTTCTTCCATATCTTCAGGAGCTGTGGCTAAAAGGAATCAAAATATTGTTATGTCAGATCCCATGAAATCAGTCAACTGGGAAGTAGGATACGTGAAGGTGATACTGTGTAACGTGGAATTAATGTTCAAGGACTTTGCGTTAGGCCGTTCTCGTGAAATAATAAATCCTCATCTTTTTGATCAGTTGGAAAGCCGGAGAGGAGGATTTGGAAGCGATGGTGGGGAGTCTAGGCTAGAAAGGAAGGTACTATTTGATTTAGTCAGTGAATGCTTAGACTTGAGATTCAGGCGGTATGTGGGTGGAGGATGCAGAGAGTGGGCAAAAGGGATGACAATTCTGAGAAGAAATGAGTGGTTAGTTGAAGAAGTTTACAAGGAGATTTCAGGGTGGAGAGGGATGGGAGATTGTATGGTGGATGAGCTTGTGGACAAGGACATGAGCAGTCAATATGGAAAATGGCTGGACTTTGAAGTTGATGCATTTGAACTTGGAGCAGACATTGAGGGTCAAATACTGAATGCTTTGGTTGATGAGGTTGTTGCTGAAGTCTTGTAGTTTTAAATGCCTTCTTCAGCTTTGTCACTTGAGTTGTACGGTCGCTGATGAGCTTGTGGACAAGCACATGGAAAATGGCTGGCACTTTGAAGATGATAATGCATTTGTACTTAGCAACAATGAGGGTCAAAAATATTGAATGCTTTGGTTGCTGAATTCATCAATGAATTATTGCTTGCATTTGGTTTTTTCACTTCCATGTTCTAATGTATGTCTCATCATATATCTTATTCTTTGGGGATCTTGTATCATGAAGATTCTTAAAAGTTCATTCTTCAAATTATTGCTTCATATATAATATAGCAAGGCCATATTGTGAATTAAAAATTTTCTCTTTTCAGTCGATGCAATTCAATGAATCACAAGTACAATAAAGAGGTGAAGTGGCCAGTTTTTTGTATGATGATAGGATTGCCCCCTCCATTCAAAAGTAATTTACTAATAATTAGTTAAATATTAACCCAAGTTACCTTAGCTAATTTTGCACATGAAACCTATGTTTAAATTTAAAAATTTTAAAAATTAAAAATTTAATCTATTTAATTTATGTGATCAAATTTAAAAGATGATACTCGAGGTTCAAGATTTAAAGTTTAAATTTTAGTACTTACAATTTATTCGAGCCTAAAGTTTAAAGTTTAAATTTTAATACTTACAATTTATTCGTTTATCTTTATATTGTGATTTTTTTATACTAAAAAAAAGTTACCATATTTCAAAATTTTAATATCTTTTATATTAAAAAATTAAACAAATGCTTTTAGGATTTTTTTAAGGTTATTATATTAAGTAATATATTGATTTTTTTTTCTTTTTGAAAAATAAGCAATTTTCTTTCGAAGCATTAAAATAAATTACATCAATTGTCAAAAAAAAAAAAATATATATATATATATATATATAGACACGCACACGCATTAGTAATTGTAGTTTCTAGAGCTCTAGATTTTTGTGGATTTAATGAGAGCCCCTTTAGCTTCACCATTGGCACCAGGCCAACCACCCCATAACCAACACAACAACCTGTCTGCATCATGCCATAATTCCCATTGATCATGACTACTAATCTGAAAACCAATTTTATCTCCATCAAGATCCCAATCAAGAAGCCAGTGCTCTTCATCAAACCATGAATTCACTACTGATGATGAAGATGAACAACACATCTGCAACTCTCCAGAACTCTCACAATTTGAGTTCCAAATGCTGCAGCTTCCACTGTCCTCCTCCTCCTCCTCCTCCTCAGTTATAACCTTGATACCATTTTCTTGCTTTGTTTCAAAGCTATCATAATACCCACTTGCACCTTCACTCTGCAAAACAATGCTCAGCCGATTTATTTCACTATCTAGCCACTCATATGATCCAAAGATATCAGCTCCTCTCACCAGCATTACAGCTCTGATCATCATCACCATAACATATTGCTTTGCTTTTACTGTCACCATTAATGCTACTATCTACTGTCCTTGCACTGTTGTTTGTGCAAGAACCATGTATTATTATTCCAAGGTCGACCTGTCATGATGTGTGTACCGTTGGTTTTCTGTTCTACGGCTTCAATTTCCTGATCAAATTCAGTTGTATTGCCAATATAATTCTTAGGCAACCCTATTGACATCAATGCTAGCTGTTGCTTCAACGTTGAAGCTCTAACAGAAAAATGGGTGTTTAGAACATTAGATAACGCCAATGGCTACCTATTTCCCAAAGTACTATGCAACTTAACAATGGTTTCTTCCTCTTCAGCTGTAAAGTTCCCTCTCTTCAAGTCTGCCCTCAAATAGTTTACCCATCTCAGCCCGCAACTCTTCCCAAACCTCATCAACTCTTCCCAAACCTCATCAAACCTTCCCAAAACAAACAAAAAGAAAAAAAAATCATCCTTCATTAACTTAGCATATATTTAGATGTAATTATACTTTCAGTGAGGTACAATTAAACTTCAATCACTATCGACTAAATTTAAATATAAATTTTAGTGAAATTCATTCAACATAAAATTTTCATTAAATTTTGTTTTCAACCCTAGATTAAAAGCTACGCATAATTCACACTAATCTATAAAATATTAAGTCATTCAACTTTTTGAACCTAGAAATATTAGCATGTAAGCACACAGATTTTCTTGTACACAACTAAATATCTATAAAAACTCTTAGAAAAAAATTATCAATTTTATTTATTCAATTTTAAAGATGGATTTATTTTGTTCAATTGAAAATAAAGGTTTTAATTATCCAAAAAAAAAAAAATGAATGAAAACTATAAAAGAGTCAAAGTCATTGGCTTATTTCAAATATGTGAATTCATGTTAACAAATTAGTATTTGAAAGTACAAACTTTCATGCTAAAAAATATTACTGATTTATTATTTTTATATATAAATTAACTAAACTTTCTTATAATACGAAACAAAAAATGAAAAAGAAAGAGAAGCCCTTGAAATATGTTGAGCAAAAGTAATCCTTGTAATGTTAATGCCCACCTGCTTCAATCTATTGATTAGATAGTGTGTTTCCAGCTTCATCACCATTGCTACTGTTTGATAACTAACAAAGCGGGTTATATATCTGAATCATCCCATAATCCCCAGTACTGATCATCATCACATTGGAAAGCAAGACCAGAATATTCCCAATCAAGCCATTCCTCATCGAACCATGGATTCCCTGGTGATAAATAATTACACACCGGCAATTCCCCAGCAGTGATCTGATCTGCATTTGAGCTCAAGATGCCATAGCTTTCTCTTTCTTGACCATAATTTTTTGCACAATTTTGGACCCCATTAGTCGTGTCCTGATCAGTTATAATAACCCTGACGCCATTTTCTCCATTTGTGATCAAGCCATGGTTCCCATTTGTATCCACTCCTTCATTTCGCAGAATACTGCTGAGGCGCTTTATTTCATTGTCTAGCCACTCGTATGGTCCCAGAAGCTCCTCGGTTTCTCTCACGCTGCAGCCGTACATTTCAGCTGCAGTGCTAGACCTTTCTTTGCCAGAAATTAATGCTATTCCTGTGCTTTGCCTCTCATCATAATTGTCTGCTAACCTTGCATTGCTGTGCATGCAAGACCCATGCATTCCAGGGTTACTTCTACCCTCTAGCACTGCTGAATCAGGGTCCTTGCTGTCTTGGGTTTGTCCCAGAGGAGTGTTTTCTTGGGCTGCAGGATCACGCAACACCTCATGTGGGGCAACAGTCTTAGGAATACCTAGTGACATCAATGCCAACTTGTGTCTTTTCATGGCTGATCGGCTGGTTCGACCGCCCCTTCGCTTGCGCTGATCTCCCGCTCTCGTTACAGCATCAATGTCACTTGGTTCTGTGTGATCTTTTAATGTCTTGGTGAAACTGTAAATTTTTCGCCTTAAATGAGAGTTCCAGTAATTCTTAATCTCATTGTCTGTTCGTCCTGGTAATTGTGCAGCAATCAAAGACCACCTTAAATAGACCACCAATCATAGAAAACATATTACTCGTTAAACATAAATCAGTGTCTTGAAAAATCAAGAAACAACTAGGGTACTAGCTTAGTGGAAAATTCTTCATTTAGAAGATGAAACTCACCAAATTATATCTGCTACCATAGTTCCTTTGAAGTAGTTATCCAAAAAAAAAACAAAAAGAATCTCATGGTAGAAATTAATCAAAAATAAATAGATTCTTGTTTTTCTATGGAAGCTTAATGACCAAGGGATGATAAGTAGTGGAAAATTTTGGCCTTCTCAAACTAAAGCTAGCATTACATTGCAATATTTGAAAAAGCTAGATAAAGATGAAAAGAAATGTAGGTGAACAATCCCCTATTTGAATTAGAGAAATGAAGGAAATAATGAAGTTTTAGTTGTAGGGGATAATGGGTTAAGTGCATGCTAGAAGTTTGGAGCAGATTGTTATGTACATATCCGGAATTTGGATGAGAATTTGAGACCAAAGTTAAGAAGCAGGAATTCAAGCATGCAGGTCTGACCTATTCCATCCTATGAATGATGTCTTGTTTGAATACCTTTAGATGTCCCAAAATAACGTTTCCTTTGAAAAGTTAAAAGAAAAATCATCCTCATTTTCTTTCGTTATCCTTAATAATGTCAAAATTCAACTTAAAATTTGTGGTAAATCAGAATCAAACATTATAGTATAATTAAAAGAAAAACAAAAATGTCTACCTATTCCGAAAAGTACTATGCAACTTAACAATGGTTTCTTCCTCTTGAGCAGTGATGTTCCCTCTCTTCAAATCAGCCCTCAAATAGTTTATCCATCTCAGCCTGCAGCTCTTCCCACACCTCAACAACCCTTGAAAAAAAAAAACATTTTGTAAAACACAATTAATGTTTCATTTGATCATTGTATGAAGTCTAGCTATATATATATATATACCCGCATTCTTGGGCAATGATTTCCAGGATCCTTCCCCATTGACTTGAATGTAGTTTTTTAATATTTCATCTTCATCTGCTGTCCAGCTTCCTCTCTTCAACCCCACCTTCTCACAACATGGAGATCTCCCCATCTTTCTCTTTAGCCTTCCACGTTTACTCCCCAAAGACCTTAATTTGAATAGAAGAGAAAGAGAAAAAAGGTGGGTTCTTTAATTTTATGTGTATCTAGAGTTTGCACGTAGAGACAGTTTAAATAAGAGAGAGATGATGTAAACTAACCCATGAATTTAAAACATGAAATAATAATTAGATACAAACACATACGAAAATAAAATATAAAAATAATTATTTTAAAATTTTAATAATAAATATATATTTAATAAATTTAAAAATATATTTGATATTTTCATATTAATATTAATTATAATACATAATTTTTATATAACATATAATATAAATATATATTTTAATATTTACTCAATATAAATATATAAATCACCGAATTTAACATAGAAGGAATCTATAGAAAATTCTTTGCTAATTTTCTTGCTTAACAAAGGTTATTGCGTAGGATGATTATAAAAAAGTACTGGCGGCAAAGCATTTTTAATTTGTAATTCATGGAATTAATAAATTAGAACTGCATTTTTGCTTATAAAATTTGTTGATTGTGATGGAAAATGTAAGGAACTGTGAGGACGTCATATAGTACAGTTGGTCCTACAAAAGTTGGTAGAGCCAAAAAGCAATAAATGAGGTGCAGGAGGCTCTTCGAGTCCATTAATTTTGAAGTCTTATTTAAGGTTTTTTTTTATTGTTTTTTGATATTTGGGAAATTTCCATTTTACTGAAAATCAAACTGATGTACGAGACTAAAAAGAAGCGAAAAAATTATGTATATATATATAAAAAACTTAAAACTATAAGGCTGGAAGGGATGAGTAGAGTGGCAGCAATGGTTTCTGGTTAATCTAGGTAAAGGAAAGAAATCGAACCCTTTTGGTTTGTCAGATATGATAATTTAAAATATAATATATTGATATTATATAAATATAATATAAAAATAATATAAATTAAAATTTTAATAATTATTATATATAAATTCAATAAAATTAAAAAAAAATTATATTTTTGTGTTATATATAAATTATAATACATAATTTTTATATAAAATATATTATAAATATATAAATTTTAATATTTTAATAAATACGAATATATAAATCGTTATGTCTAATTAAAATATTCACTGTCGGGTAATTGATAATGCTGCTTCTGAACTGAACCATAATTTTTTTTTTTTTAAAGAGGAAGAGAGAGCTAATTCTTAATTTCACACTTAAAATTTTGGCATTGACTAAATTGATTCAGGTTGGTGTGTAAATTGGATGGCTACTTGTTTTCTTTTAAACCTTATAAATTAATTGATTCAGGATACTCCGATTGATTTTACATCCCAAGTATTCATTTTGTCATTGACATGAAGTGAATAGTATTATATTTTTTTTAATATTTTTTGATTTATCAATTTAAAAAATAATACAGTAATACGAAATAAACATAATATAAAAAATATAAAAATAATACGATTTAAAATTTTAATAATAATTATATATAAATTTAATCAAATAAAAAAAAAATAATTCATGTTTTTGTATCAACTTAAATTATGATATGTAATTTTCATATAAAACATAATTCAAATATAAAAATTTTAATATTTTACATAACATAAATACATTAATTATCAAATCTAATAATTTTAGTACTTTGTTGAGCTCAAAATTAATCCGAAATTTTCATAAGACTAACTTATCATGGACAACACAAACCGAAATTAAAAATTGACAATTACACTATTTTTTTTTTTTTTAAGTTTTTCTCTACCAATTGGAGATATGATTAAAAGTTACGTAAAAAAAAAAGAATATTAATTATAGTACTAATTCTACTAGTTTAAGGAATAGATTTAATTATGGAGAAATTAGATTTCTTTCCATCAAATAATTACTATGTGATCATGGGTCGTTGGCAGCACGTTTATGGCTGCCAATCAAAGAATTTTTTCTTGCACCATGATAAAATAAAATCTTTATTCTTTAATAAGGATACTTTTAGTCTTATTTCTCTATATGAGGTACTTCATACCATGTTATCATTTTATTATTTTTTATCTCTTCATTGTCAATGTTTCTCATCTTTCCACAGACAAGTTTGAGATGAGAATTCTGAACTTCCTCCTTGCTAAAATGCTTTGCTTCTTGCTTCTTGTTGGTAGGCCGACCAAGGTCATTGATAAGCAATTAAACTATGAAAATTCTGCCTCCTCCCTCCTCTGTTTCCATCTTGAAAAGCAGTTAAACAATATAGACTTTTGATTGGTAAAAAAAACAAAAAAGCAACGAAATTATTTATTCTCAGGGCATCTTCCATTTCATTTGTTATTTTATAACTTTATACACATTATTTTATTCCTGTCAATCAAAATTCAAGTAAAAAACCCAACCATCTCTGGCTTTTTCTTAGCCAAGAATTACAGCTGGTGAACAGTTACCGGTGATGCCTGCTAGGTATGGGTTTCTCTTTAGCCTTTGCATTTGTTGTTTATTTTGTTCCAGAGGATAATAATCGCCAAATAAATTAAAAAAGGGTATTATAGTTGATGTTGTTTTAAATGTTGTTAGTGTGAACCGACCTTTCATTAGTCGAAAGCCACGCACTGCTTTGAATATAGCTTCACATTGATGAAACTGTGTACACATGCTAAAAGTTGAATGGGAATTTCACTTGATTTACTTTGTCACTATATGAAAATTTTGTGATTAAGTGGGTTCTACCGGCATTGTGTTAGGCAGTTTTGAGGTCTGGGGTTGTGAAGTTATTCTCACAGGCTGACAGTATTGTTGCAGGTAGGCAGTTCAAGAGAACTTCAAAGACTTTATGATGAGATTGTTGAGTCAGCTGATGGTTGTTGGTTGGATCGGTATGCAGTTCTTGAGAAGACTGTTAAGTAGACGTTCTGCTTTATTACTCCCATGTTTAGACCCTTGTTTTCAAATTTTGTTTATATATGGATAGATTACATTCATGCTGTTCGTCTTAATTAAAATTTCATTTCAACATTTTTTTATTGTATTATTATATCAAATACGTCTTTAATATTCTTTACCCTTCTTTGCTTTACAGTTCAACTCCGAAATATAACCCCATCAAAATTTGCAGAGCTTCTTTTAAGTTTGTTTTCTAAATAGAAAACGAGTTTATTCTCAAGGAGTGAATTAACACTGTTAAAAAAGATACGAGTTTTAAAGTTTGAGGCTTTAACTGAAAAATGGGTGTTTGAAACATTGGATAAAGCCGGTGGCTACCTATTTCCCAAAGTGCTATGCAACTTAACAATGGTTTCTTCCTCTTCAGCAGTAAAGTTCCCTCTCTTCAAGTCTGCCCTCAAATAGTTTACCCATCTCAGCCTGCAACTCTTCCCACACCTCAACAAACCTTCCCAAACAAACAAAAAGAAAAAAAAAATCATCCATCATTAACTTAGAAAAAGAGGAAAAAAAAATATCAGTAGATCATTAGAAGAGAACCTGCATGCATGGGTAAAGATCTCCAGGATCCTTCTCCATTGAGTTGAATGTAGTTGGTTAATATTTGATCTTCTTCTGCTGTCCATCTTCCCTTCTTCGACCGTAGTTTCTCACAACATGGAGATCTTCCCATTACCCAAATATCGCTCCCTAAAGAACCTAGAAATTAAAAAAAAAAAAAAAAAGAAAAAGAAAAAAAAATTGGTAATGATTATTAAGGTAGGTGTAGCCATATATTGTAACTATATGTTGTTTGCAAAACGTGAATGATGTAGACATAGCAACGGTCGCGCTGTTGCTTAACTGAGATTACAGTGCCAAAAGAATTATTAAACATTCCATTATAAAATTCTTTATATTTAAAATTATCAAAATTTGAACTATATTTATTAAAGGGATAATATTTCATTTAATCCCTCAACTATTGCATTTTTTTTAATGTGATACCTAAATAAAAAATGTTTTTAATTAAATACTTAAACTTCATTTTCATATGTTAAATTGCATCAATTCTTTAACATTATTAGAATAATAATGATATAGCATTCAAATTGTAATGTGAATGACATGTGGTTATCATGTGATTTGAGATGTAAATGTTAAAAAAGTTTTTAAAATAGAATTTTTAAAATTAAAATGCCATATAATTGTTATTCTAACGGTATTAAAGAGTTTGAATAATTTAATATACAAAATTAAAATTTAAATACTTGATTAATTTTTTTTAAAATTTAAATACCACATTAAAAAAATTACAATAGTTTAAAAGCCAAATAAGATATTATCCCTTTATTAAAATTATAATAACTGTTGGTGAAAAAGAAAATGACTTTATTTGCTTGATTTTGCTATGGGAAAATAATTTAGGTTAGATTGATTGAACTATAGAGATGTGTTAATAATTATTGATGTCCAATTTGGGTCTACAAATGCTCCACGTGTCCAATTCCCTACCCTATTGTAATTTATTTTTTTATTTTATTAATAATTAACACAAATATTTATTTATTTTAATATTTTACAATAATTGATGTACAATTGTTTTAAAAAAATTAACTACTTAAATTGAGATTTGAAATTATTTTAAATTAAACAATTAAAAATTATTTAATATACTGATAATAAAATTTTATAATTTTATTAACAAAATTAAGATAGTAATATTATTTTAAAATTTTAAAATTATTTTTATTTTTCAAATATATATTAAAAAACATATATCACAAATTTAATCATATTTATAAAATTAAAATTTTAATTATTCATATATTTAATAATTTTTATAAAAATTATTTAAGATACCCATAACAAAATTTCTCTAAAATAAATAGTATAAAAGATAGTCAACATATAGCCATAATAATTGTCCTGGAAAGAAAGCAAATGTACCAGGAATTTGGGCATACCTTTTTCGGTTGTGAAGAGGAAGGCGTCATTAAGGCCAGGAAGTGAGTAGAAAATGATAGGGTAACCTCAAAAAGAAACTTGATGGCCAAATAACAGCAGCTAGAGAATCTATTGTCTCCCATTCCTAACTCAAAACGGAAGAACCATTATTTCAAATGAATAGATGGAGACACCACTAACTTTTTCATTTTATATACCCTTTTTTCAAAAAATTTCTTATAAGAAAGCTATATATTATACCGAAATTTTTATTTTTTAATTTTAAACGAAAAATATGTATTTGATTTATATTTGAAACCAATAAGAAATAAATTTAAATTGGCATCTTAATTTTGTTTTGCAATGTATAAATAAAAGATTTTTTGCAAAACCTTTGTTATTAAAGAGATCAGTATTTGCAAAAACATTATCAATTTTATTTATTTATTTTGTTCAATTGAAAATAAAGGTTTTAATTATCCAACAAAAAAATTACAATGAAAACTATAAAAGAGTCAAAGACATTGGCTTATTTCAAATATATGAACTCATGTTAACAAATTAGTATTTGAAAGTACAAATTTTCACGCTAAAAAATATTACTGATTTGTTATTTTTATATATAAATTAACCGAACTTTCTTATAACAGAAAAAAAAAATGAAAAAGAAAGAGAAGACCTTGAAATATGTTGAGCAAAAGCAATCCTTGTAATGTTAATGCCCACCTGCTTCAATCTATTGATTAGATGGTGTGTTTCCAGCTTCATCACCATTGCTACTGTTTGATAACCAACAAAGCAGGTTATATGTCTGAATCATCCCATAATCCCCAGTACTGATCATCATCCCATTGGAAAGCAAGACCAGAATATTCCCAATCAAGCCATTCCTCATCGAACCCTGGATTCCCTGGTGATAAATAATTACACACCTGCAATTCCCCAGCAGGGATCTGATCTGCATTTGAGCTCAAGATGCCAGAGCTTTCTCTTTCTTGATCATAATTTTTGGCACAATTTTGGACCCCATTAGTCGTGTCCTGATCAGTTATAATAACCCTGACGCCATTTTCTCCATTTGTGATCAAGCCATGGTTCCCATTTGTATCCACTCCTTCATTTTGCAGAATACTGCTGAAGCGCTTTATTTCATTGTCTAGCCGCTCGTATGGTCCCAGAAGCTCCTCAGTTTCTCTCACGCTGCAGCCGTACATTTCAGCTGCAGTGCTAGACCTTTCTTTGCCAGAAATTAATGCTATTCCTGTGCTTTGCCTCTCATCATAATTTCCTGCTAACATTGCACTGCTGTGCATGCAAGACCCATGCATTCCAAGGTTACTTCTACCCTCTAGCACTGCTGAATCAGGGTCCTTGCTGTCTTGGGTTTGTCCCAGAGGAGTGTTTTCTTGGGCTGCAGGATCACGCAACACCTCATGTGGGGCAACAGTCTTAGGAATACCTAGTGACATCAATGCCAACTTGTGTCTTTTCATGGCTGATCGGCTGGTTCGACCGCCTCTTCGCTTGCACTGATCTTCCGCTCTCGTTACAGCGTCAATGTCACTTGGTTCTGTGTGATCTTTTAATGTCTTGGTGAAACTGTAAATTTTTCGCCTTAAGTGAGAGTTCCAGTAATTCTTAATCTCATTGTCTGTTCGTCCCGGTAATTGTGCAGCAATCAAAGACCACCTTAAATAGACCACCAATCATAGAAAACATAGTACTCGTTAAACATAAATCAGTGTCTTGAAAAATCAAGAAACAACGAGGGTACTAGCTTAGTTGAAAATTCTTCATTTAGAAGATGAAATTCACCAAATTATATCTGCTACCATAGTTCCTTTGAAGTAGTTATCCAAAAAAAAAAAAGAATCTCATGATAGAAATTAATCAAAAATAACTAGATTTTTGTTTTTCTATGAAAGCTGAATGACAAAGGGATGATAAGTAGTGGAAAATTTTGGCCTTCTCAAACTAAAGCTAGCATTACATCGCAATATTTGAAAAAGCTAGGTAAAGATGAAAAGAAATGTAGGTGAACAATCCCCTATTTGAATTAGAGAAATGAAGGAAATAATGAAGTTTTAGTTGTAGGGGATCATGGATTAAGTGCATGCTAGAAGTTTGGAGCAGATTGTTATATACATATCTGGAATTTGATTGAGAATTTGAAACCAAAGTTAAGAAGCAGGAATTCAAGCATGCAGGTCTGACCTATTCCATCCTATGAATGATGTCTTGTTTGAATACCTTTAGATGTCCCAAAGTAACGTTTCCTTTGAAAAGTTAAAAGAAAAATCATCCTCATTTTCTTTCGTTATCCTTAATAATGTCAAAATTCAACTTAAAATTTGTGGTAAATCAGAATCAAACATTATAGTATAATTAAAAGAAAAACAAAAATGTCTACCTATTCCCAAAAGTACTATGCAACTTAACAATGGTTTTTCCTCTTGAGCAGTGATGTTCCCTCTCTTCAAATCAGCCCTCAGATAGTTTATCCATCTCAGCCTGCAGCTCTTCCCACACCTCAACAACCCTTGAAAAAAAAACATTTTGTAAAACACAATTAATGTTTCATTCGATCATTGTATGAAGTCTAGCTACATATATACCTGCATTCTTGGGCAATGATTTCCAGGATACTTCCTGTCGTAATGGTTTTGGAACTGTCAGATGTAAAACGAGTTTTTTAAAATCGATAAAAATAAAGGGGGAGGAGTCGCCACCAATCTTTGTTAGGGTGTGATTGACTACCCAAAAGTTTATTTTTTTAATAAAACTATAAAAACGGGTTTAAGGTTTATCAAAAAGATAAATTTTGGTCTACGAATAATCAGGTTGGGTCTGGGAGTTGGTTATGTGTGGAGAAGGATTAGCACCCCCACAACACCCATAAATTGGTATCATTCAATTATGCGCTATTTTCGGTGTTGGATAAAAATGATTTTGACTTGAAATTTAATACTAATTCCCTTCGTTTTTAAAAAAATATTTTTGCTAAAATTTTTATTTAGAAATATTGAGAAAATTTTTAAGTTAAAGAATTATTTTAAAATTCTCCAACATTTAGGCAAAATTTGAAATAACTCTTTTCGCTTAAGATTTAACACAATAATCCTTAAAATGAAATAACAATCTTTATAGAAAATAATTGTTAATGACTCTCCAACATTTAGGCAGAGTACTAAGAATTATTTCTTTCAGAATGTTATTTTTATTTTATAATATCATAAATTTTTTTTTTAAAAGTATTATTCTTTTTATTATAAATATTTTATTATTAAACAGTAAATTAAAATTAAAATAATACAGATAATTATTGATAATAACATGCTAACGTATGTATACTAATGAATGTAATGAGAAATGAAATGCAATTTAATAGTTGGGTTCTTAAGTATAATGAGACTACCCCGACTCTCCAACATTTAGGTAGAGCTTAGGTGCGACTGTTTATATTTAAGATCTCAATTTTTTATTATACTTTTTATTCATTAATTTTATTATTAATGCGAATTAAGAAATCGTGTGAAAAGACTTAACGAAGTAAGATTTCCTAAATACCTTATCATCTATACGGCATTCGGGAACAAATTATTTCAGAGAAAATTTTCACACGTGTTCTTAAGATTTTTAAGAGGTTTTGAGTAAGGGCTTGAGTAGAGGTTTTGAAGGTTTAAATGGTTTTAAGGCTTGAATTTTAGGATATGAAAGGTTTAGGGTTTTGATTTTAGAGTTTAGAGATTTTAGGATTTGGGTTTTGTAGTTTGAGGTTTGGATTTTGAGGTTTGGATTTAGGAGTTTAAAGGTTTGGGAATTTTGGATTTTTGAGGGTTTTGAATTTTAAGAGTTTCGGATTTTATGGGGTTTTGAATTTTTAGGGGTTTTAAAAACTTAGGAATTTGAAAATTAAAAATTAGTGTTTAAAGTTTAAGTAAAACGCGAACATCTCTAAAAAATTTTCATCATCTAGGCGAACTTTCGGAGTATGTTCAATTTTTTATAATTTTTGAAAACTAATTAAAAATTTCTTATGTGTTTTTTTTTTATGAAAATTTATTCATAATAATTCCCCAACATCTAGACGAAATTATTTTTTTTTAGAGAAATATTTTTATTCCTTCCAACATCTAGGCAAGAAAAATAATAATAATAAAAAATATTTTTTTGAATATTTTTAATATATTTTTAACCATTATTTGTTTTCAATTTTATTATTATTAAAATAATTAAACGTTTATTTTAATAAATTTAAAAATTTATCATGCTTAAATATAAAAATATACTTAAAATAACAAAAATAATAATATAAAAAAATTTAAAAATTCAAAAAAAAATTATTTTTTAACTGAACCGGACTTGAATGTAGTTTTTTAATATTTCATCTTCATCTGCTGTCCATCTTCCTCTCATCAACCCCACCTTCTCACAACATGGAGATCTCCCCATCTTTCTCTTTAGCCTTCCACGTTTACTCCCCATCTTTCTCTTTAGCCTTCCACGTTTACTCCCCAAAGACCTTAATTTGAATAGAAGAGAAAGAGAAAAAAGGTGGGTTCTTTAATTTTATGTGTATCTAGAGTTTGCACGTAGAGACAGTTTAAATAAGAGAGAGATGATGAAACTAACCCATGAATTTAAAACATGAAATAATAATTAGATACAAACACATACGAAAATAAAATATAAAAATAATTATTTTAAATTTTTAATAATAAATATATATTTGATATTTTCATATTAATATTAATTATAATACATAATTTTTATATAAAATATAATATAAATATATATTTTAATATTTACTCAATATAAATATATAAATCACCAAATTTAACATAGAAGCAATCTATCGAAAATTCTTTGCTAATTTTCTTGCTTAATAAAGGTTATTGCGTAGGACGATTATAAAAAAGTACTGGCGGCAAAGCATTTTTAATTTGTAATTCATGGAATTAATAAATTAGAACTGCATTTTTGCTTATAAAATTTGTTGATTGTGATGGAATCTGTAAGGAACTTTGAGGACGTCATATAGTACGGTTGGTCCTACAAAAGTTGGTAGAGCCAAAAAGCAATAAATGAAGGAAATGAAGTAGACTTTTCAATGGTGCAGGAGGCTCTTCGAGTCCATTCATTTTGAAGTCTTATTTAAGGTTTTTTTATTGTTTTTTGATATTTGGGAAATTTCCATTTTACTGAAAATCAAACTGATGTACAAGACTAAAAAGAAGCGAAAAAATTATGTATATATATAAAAAAAAAACTTAAAACTATATGGCTGGAAGGGATGAGTAGAGTGGCAGCAATGGTTTCTGGTTAATCTAGGTAAAGGAAAGAAATCGAACCCTTTTGGTTTGTAGATATGATAATTTAAAATATAATATATTGATATTATATAAATATAATATAAAAATAAAATAAAAAAATAATATAATTTAAAATTTTAATAATAATTATATATAAATTCAATAAAATTAAAAAAATTATAATTTCCTGTTATATATAAATTATAATACATAATTTTTATATAAAATATATTATAAATATATAAATTTTAATATTTTAATAAATACAAATATACAAATCGTTATGTTTAATTAAAATATTCACTATCTGAAGACTGATAATACTGCTTTTGGACTGAACCATAATATTTTTTTTTCTTAAAGAGGAAGAGAGAGCTAATTCTTAATTTCACACTTGAAATTTTGACATTGACTAAATTGATTCAGGTTGGTGTGTAAATTGGATGGCTACTTGTTTTCTTTTAAACCTTATAAATTAATTGATTCAGGATACTCCGATTGATTTTACATCCCAAGTATTCATTTTGTCATTGACATGAAGTGAATAGTATTATATATCTTTTTAGTGAATATTTGATTTGTCAATTTAAAAAATGATACAGTAATACAAAATAAACATAATATAAAAAAATAAAAATAATATGATTTAAAATTTTAATAATAATTATATATGAGTTTAACCAAATAAAAAAAATATTTCATATTTTTGTATCAACCTAAATTATTATATGTAATTTTCATATAAAACATAATTCAAATACAAAAATTTTAATATTTTACATAACATAAATACATTAATTATCAAATCTAATAATTTTAGTACTTTGTCGAGCTCAAAATTATCCGAAATTTTCATAAGACTAACTTATCATGGACAACACAAACCCAAATTAAAAATTGACAATTACACTACTTTTTTTTTTTATAATTTTTCTCTACCAATTGGAAATATGATTAAAAGTTACGTAAAAAAAAAAGAATATTAATTATAGTACTAATTCTACTAGTTTAAGGAATAGATTTAATTATGGAGAAATTAGATTTCTTTCCATCAAATAATTACTATGTGATCATGGGTCGTTGGCAGCACGTTTATGGCTGCCAATCAAAGAATTTTTTCTTGCACCATGATAAAATAAAATCTTTATTCTTTAATAAGGATACTTTTAGTCTTATTTCTCTATATGAGGTACTTCATACCATGTTATCATTTTATTATTTTTTATCTCTTCATTGTCAATGTTTCTCATCTTTCCACAGACAAGTTTGAGATGAGAATTCTGGAGTTCCTCCTTGCTAAAATGCTTTGCTTCTTGCTTCTTGTTGGTAGGCCGACCAAGGTCATTGATAAGCAATTAAACTATGAAAATTCTGCCTCCTCCCTCCTCTGTTTCCATCTTGAAAAGCAGTTAAACAATATAGACTTTTGATTGGTAAAAAAAAAAAAAAGCAACGAAATTATTTATTCACAAAGCATCTTCCATTTCATTTGTTATTTTATAACTTTATACACATTATTTTATTCCTCTCAATCAAAATTCAAGTAAAAAACCCAACCATCTCTGGCTTTTTCTTAGCCAAGAATTACAGCTGGTGAACAGTTACTGGTGATGCCTGCTAGGTATGGGTTTCTCTTAAGCCTTTGCATTTGTTGTTTATTTTGTTCCAGAGGATAATAATCGCCAAACAAATTAAAAAAGGGTATTATAGTTGATGTTATTTTAAATGTTGTTAGTGTGAACCGACCTTTCATTAGTCGAAAGCAACGCACTGCTTTGAATATAGCTTCACATTGATGAAACTGTGTACACATGCTAAAAGTTGAATGGGAATTTCACTTGATTTGCTTTGTCACTATATGAAAATTTTGTGATTAAGTGGGTTCTACCGGTATTGTGTTAGGCAGTTTTGAGGTCTGGGGTTGTGAAGTTATTCTCACAGGCTGACAATATTGTTGCAGGTAGGCAGTTCAAGAGAGCTTCAAAGAATTTATGATGAGATTGTTGAGTCAGCTGATGGCTGTCGGTTGGATCGCTATGCAGTTCTTGAGAAGACTGTTAAGTAGACGTTCTGCTTTAGTACTCCCATGTTTAGACCCTTGTTGTCAGATTTTGTTTATATATGGATAGATTACATTCTTGCCGTTCGTCTTAATTAAAATTTTGTTTCAACATTTTTATTGTATTATTATATCAAATACGTCTTTAATATTCTTTACCCTTCTTTGCTCTACAGTTCAACTCCGAAATATAACCCCATCAAAATTTGCAGAGCTTCTTTTAAGTTTGTTTTCTAAATAGAAAACGAGTTTATTCTCAAGGAGTGAATTAACACTGTTAAAAAAGATACGAGTTTTAAAGTTTGAGGCTTTAACAGAAAAATGGGTGTTTGAAACATTGGATAAAGCCAGTGGCTACCTATTTCCCAAAGTGCTATGCAACTTAACAATGGTTTCTTCCTCTTCAGCATTAAAGTTCCCTCTCTTCAAGTCTGCCATCAAATAGTTTACCCATCTCAGCCTGCAACTCTTCCCACACCTCAACAAACCTTCCCAAAACAAACAAAAAGAAAAAAAAATCATCCATCATTAACTTAGAAAAAGAGGAAAAAAAAAATCAGTAGATCATTAGAAGAGAACCTGCATGCATGGGTAAAGATCTCCAGGATCCTTCCCCATTGAGTTGAATGTAGTTGGTTAATATTTGATCTTCTTCTGCTGTCCATCTTCCCTTCTTCGACCGTAGTTTCTCACAACATGGAGATCTTCCCATTACCCAAATATCACTCCCCAAAGAACCTAGAAATTAAAAAAAAAAAGAAAAAAGAAAGAGAAAAAAAAATTGGTAATGATTGTTAAGGTAGGTGTAGCCATATATTGTAACTATGTGTTGTTTGCAAAACGTGAATGATGTAGACATAGCAACGGTCGCGCTGTTGCTTAACTGAGATTACAGTGCCAAAAGAATTATTAAACATTCCATTATAAAATTCTTTATATTTAAAATTATCAAAATTTGAACTATATTTATTAAAGGGATAATATTTCATTTGATCCCTCAACTATTGTATTTTTTTAATGTGATACCTAAATAAAAAAATTTTTAATTAAATACTTAAACTTCATTTTCATATGTTAAGTTGCATCAATTCTTTAACATTATTAGAATAATAATGATATAGCATTCAAATTGTAATGTGAATGACATGTGGTTGTCATGTAATTTGAGATGTAAATATTAAAAAAGTTTTTAAAATAGAATTTTTAAAATATTTTAATTTTTTATTCTTTAAAAATGACACGTGAGATTAAAATATCATATCAATGTTATTCTAATGGTATTAAAGGGTTTGAATAATTTAATATACAAAATTTAAATTTAAATGCTTGATTAAATTTTTAAAAAAAATTTAAATACCACATTAAAAAAATTACAATAGTTTAAAAGCCAAATAAGATATTATCCCTTTATTAAAATTATAATAACTGTTGGTGAAAAAGAAAATGACTTTATTTGCTTGATTTTGCTAGGGGAAAATAATTTAGGTCAGATTGATTGAACTATAGAGATGTGTTAATAATTATTGATGTCCAATTTGGGTCTACAAATGCTCCACGTGTTCAATTCCCTACCCTATTGTAATTTATTTTTTTATTTTATTAATAATTACCTCAAATATTTATTTATTTTAATATTTTACAATAATTGATGTACAAATGTTTTAAAAAAATTAACTACTTAAATTGAGATTTGAAATTATTTTAAATTAAACAAATAAAAATTATTTAATATACTGATAATAAATTTTTATAATTTTATTAACGAAATTAAGATGATAATATTATATTAAATTTTTAAAATTATTTTTTATTTTTCAAATATATATTGAAAAACATATATCACAAATTTAATCATATGTATAAAATTAAAAATTTAATTATTCATATATTTAATAATTTTTATAAAAAAATTATTTAAGATACCCGTAACAAAATTTCTATAAAATAAATAGTATAAAAGATAGTCAACATATAGCCATAATAATTGTCCTGGAAAGAAAGCAAATGTACGAGGATTTTGGGCAGACCTTTTTCGGTTGTGAAGAGGAAGGTGTCATTAAGGCCAGGAAGTGAGTAGAAAATGATAGGGTAACCTCAAAAAGAAACTTGATGGCCAAATAACAGCAGCTAGAGAATCTATTGTCTCCCATTCCTAACTCAATAGTACTCAAAACAAAAGAACCATTATTTCAAATGAATAGATATAGACACCACTAACTTTTTCATTTTATATACCCTTTTTTCGAAAAATTTCTTATAAGAAAGCTATATATTATACCGAAATTTTCATTTTTTTTTATTTTAAACGAAATTATGTATTTGATTTATATTTGAAACCAATAAGAAATAAATTTAAATTGGCATCTTAATTTTGTTTTGCAATGTATAAATAAAAGATTTTTTGCAAAACCTTTGTTATTAAAGAGATCAGTATTTGCAAAAACATTATCAATTTTATTTATTTATTTTGTTCAATTGAAAATAAAGGTTTTAATTATCCAACAAAAAAATTACAATGAAAACTATAAAAGAGTCAAAGACATTGGCTTATTTCAAATATATGAACTCATGTTAACAAATTAGTATTTGAAAGTACAAATTTTCATGCTAAAAAATATTACTGATTTGTTATTTTTATATATAAATTAACCGAACTTTCTTATAACAGAAAAAAAAAAATGAAAAAGAAAGAGAAGACCTTGAAATATGTTGAGCAAAAGCAATCCTTGTAATGTTAATGCCCACCTGCTTCAATCTATTGATTAGATGGTGTGTTTCCAGCTTCATCACCATTGCTACTGTTTGATAACCATCAAAGCAGGTTATATATCTGAATCATCCCATAATCCCCAGTACTGATCATCATCCCATTGGAAAGCAAGACCAGAATATTCCCAATCAAGCCATTCCTCATCGAACCCTGGATTCCCTGGTGATAAATAATTACACACCTGCAATTCCCCAGCAGGGATCTGATCTGCATTTGAGCTCAAGATGCCAGAGCTTTCTCTTTCTTGATCATAATTTTTGGCACAATTTTGGACCCCATTAGTCGTGTCCTCATCAGTTATAATAACCCTGACGCCATTTTCTCCATTTGTGATCAAGCCATGGTTCCCATTTGTATCCACTCTTTCATTTTGCAGAATACTGCTGAGGCGCTTTATTTCATTGTCTAGCCACTCGTATGGTCCCAGAACCTCCTCGGTTTCTCTCACGCTGCAGCCGTACATTTCAGCTGCAGTGCTAGACCTTTCTTTGCCAGAAATTAATGCTATTCCTGTGCTTTGCCTCTCATCATAATTGCCTGCTAACCTTGCACTGCTGTGCATGCAAGACCCATGCATTCCAAGGTTACTTCTACCCTCTAGCACTGCTGAATCAGGGTCCTTGCTGTCTTGGGTTTGTCCCAGAGGAGTGTTTTCTTGGGCTGCAGGATCACGCAACACCTCATGTGGGGCAACAGTCTTAGGAATACCTAGTGACATCAATGCCAACTTGTGTCTTTTCATGGCTGATCGGCTGGTTCGACCGCCTCTTCGCTTGCACTGATCTCCCGCTCTCGTTACAGCGTCAATGTCACTTGGTTCTGTGTGATCTTTTAATGTCTTGGTGAAACTGTAAATTTTTCGCCTTAAGTGAGAGTTCCAGTAATTCTTAATCTCATTGTCTGTTCGTCCCGGTAATTGTGCAGCAATCAAAGACCACCTTAAATAGACCACCAATCATAGAAAACATAGTACTCGTTAAACATAAATCAGTGTCTTGAAAAATCAAGAAACAACGAGGGTACTAGCTTAGTCGAAAATTCTTCATTTAGAAGATGAAATTCACCAAATTATATCTGCTACCATAGTTCCTTTGAAGTAGTTATCCAAAAAAAAAGAATCTCATGATAGAAATTAATAAAAAATAACTAGATTTTTGTTTTTCTATGAAAGCTGAATGACAAAGGGATGATATGTAGTGGAAAAATTTGGCCTTCTCAGACTAAAGCTAGCATTACATCGCAATATTTGAAAAAGCTAGGTAAAGGTGAAAAGAAATGTAGGTGAACAATCCCCTATTTGAATTAGAGAAATGAAGGAAATAATGAAATTTTAGTTGTAGGGGACCATGGATTAAGTGCATGCTAGAAGTTTGAAGCAGATTGTTATGTACATATCTGGAATTTGATTGAGAATTTGAGACCAAAGTTAAGAAGCAGTAATTCAAGCATGCAGGTCTGACCTATTCCATCCTATGAATGATGTCTTGTTTGAATACCTTTAGATGTCCCAAAATAACGTTTCCTTTGAAAAGTTAAAAGAAAAATCATCCTCATTTTCTTTCGTTATCCTTAATAATGTCAAAATTCAACTTAAAATTTGTGGTAAATCAGAATCAAACATTATAGTATAATTAAAAGAAAAACAAAAATGTCTACCTATTCCCAAAAGTACTATGCAACTTAACAATGGTTTCTTCCTCTTGAGCAGTGATGTTCCCTCTCTTCAAATCAGCCCTCAAATAGTTTATCCATCTCAGCCTGCAGCTCTTCCCACACCTCAACAACCCTTGAAAAAAAAAAACATTTTGTAAAACACAATTAATGTTTCATTTGATCATTGTATGAAGTCTAGCTATATATATATATATACCTGCATTCTTGGGCAATGATTTCCAGGATCCTTCCCCATTGACTTGAATGTAGTTTTTTAATATTTCATCTTCATCTGCTGTCCATCTTCCTCTCTTCAACCCCACCTTCTCACAACATGGAGATCTCCCCATCTTTCTCTTTAGCCGTCCACGTTTACTCCCCAAAGACCTTAATTTGAATAGAAGAGAAAGAGAAAAGAGGTGGGTTCTTTAATTTTATGTGTATCTAGAGTTTGCACGTAGAGACAGTTTAAATAAGAGAGAGATGATGTAAACTAACCTATGAATTTAAAACATGAAATAATAATTAGATACAAACACATACGAAAATAAAATATAAAAATAATTATTTTAAAATTTTAATAATAAATATATATTTAATAAAATTAAAAATATATTTGATATTTTCATATTAATATTAATTATAATACATAATTTTTATATAACATATAATATAAATATATACTTTAATATTTACTCAATATAAATATATAAATCACCGAATTTAACATAGAAGGAATCTATAGAAAATTCTTTGCTAATTTTCTTGCTTAACAAAGGTTATTGCGTAGGATGATTATAAAAAAGTACTGGCGGCAAAGCATTTTTAATTTGTAATTCATGGAATTAATAAATTAGAACTGCATTTTTGCTTATAAAATTTGTTGATTGTGATGGAAAATGTAAGGAACTGTGAGCACGTCATATAGTACAGTTGGTCCTACAAAAGTTGGTAGAGCCAAAAAGCAATAAATGAAGGAAATGAAGTAGACTTTTCAATGGTGCAGGAGGCTCTTCGAGTCCATTCATTTTGAAGTCTTATTTAAGGTTTTTTTATTGTTTTTTGATATTTGGGAAATTTCCATTTTACTGAAAATCAAACTGATGTACAAGACTAAAAAGAAGCGAAAAAATTATGTATATATATAAAAAAAAAAACTTAAAACTATATGGCTGGAAGGGATGAGTACAGTGGCAGCAATGGTTTCTGGTTAATCTAGGTAAAGGAAAGAAATCGAACCCTTTTGGGTAGTAAGATATGATAATTTAAAATATAATATATTGATATTATGTAAATATGATATAAAAATAAAATATAAAAATAATATAAATTAAATTTTAATAATAATTATATATAAATTTAAAAAAATTAAAAAAATTTATATTTTCGTATTATATATAAATTATAATATATAATTTTTATATAAAATATATTAAAGATATATAAATTTTAATATTTTAATAAATACGAATATACAAATCGTTAGATTTAATTAAAATATTCACTATCTAGAGATTGGTAATGCTACTTTTGGTCTGAATCCTAATTTTTTTTTTTCAAAGAGGAAGAGAGCTCATTTTTAATTTCACACTTGAAATTTTGACATTGATTAAATTGATTCAGGTTGGTGTGTAAATTGGATGGCTACTTGTTTTCTTTTAAACCTTATAAATTAATTTATACTTTATTTGCTGCACTTCTGGCCTCCTATTGACTTTACATCCAAAGTATTCATTTTGTCATTGACATAACGTCAACAGAATTATGTTTTTCCTAGTGATTTTTAGATTTATCAATTTAAAATATAATACAATAATAAAAATAAATATAATAAAAATAAAATATAAACGTAATATAATTTAAAATTTTAATAATTATTATTTATAAATTTAATAAAATAAAAAATTTTACAGTTTTGTATTAATATAAACTATAACATATAATTTATATATAAAACATAATTAAAAATAAAAATTTTAATATTTTATATGATATAAATATATTAATCATCAACGCTAATAATTTTAGTACTTGGCTCAAAATGAATCCAAAATTTTCATAAGAGTTAACTTGACAAGGACAACACAACCCCAATTAAAAATTGAAAATTACACTGCCTTTTTTTGTTTTAATATTTCTCTAACAAATTGAAAATATGATTAAAAGTTACGTAAGAAAAGAATACTAATTATAGTACTAATTCTACTAGTATGAGGAATATATTTAATTGTGGAGAAATTAGATTTCTTTCCATCAAATAATTACTATGTGATCATGGGCTGTTGGCAGCACGTTTATGGCTGCCAATCATAGGAAAGGAAAGAAAAAAGAAAACAGCTTTATGCCTTACCCAATGTAGTGATCTATAAATATCTAATAATAATAAATATTGTTAAATTTAAATCCATCAAAATTTTGATGCATTGATATAATTGTTATAATATTATAAATTTTTTATATCAAAATTTTTAAAAAATTATAAACAAACCATTGATCTACTAAATAAAAAAATTTATTGTACAAAAAAATATTAAAATAGATTACTATAGCGAAAAACATGATTTTATAAAAGTTAAATCCCAATTCGACCTCATACTAAAAGGATGCTTACTCTTAAATATCAATTAAAATATCAATTAATCAGTAAGTTGATTCAATTGATAAGATCATTCTTTTTAATGTAAGTGATTTTATATTTAAATTTATGTAATCTTTTGTTAAAATTATTTTAAATGTACGATTTGTAACCATTATATTTTAGACTATTGGATACTAAAAGTATAATTAATCGAGCTGATCGAATTCGAATCGATACAATATTAAGTTTAAGTTTGAACTCACTCTAAATTACTCAATTTGAATTCGATTGAATTTTATTTTTTTAACTCGAATTTAATTTGAGATAAAAATATAATTATTCGAGCTTACTCGATTAGATTTGATTAACATGTAAAAATAAATTTGATTTTTATATTCGATAAAAATTTGATTGTTTGTACTTAAACTAAAGTTTTAGATATTTTATTAATTAAAATAATAAAAATATATTAAAATATAAAAGTTCGATTAATCTCATAAGCTACTCGAATTTTACTAGATATAAAAATATTTGAACTTAACTTGATCGATAAGTAAAGCTCATCGAACTCAAGCTCGACTCGATAATAACTGTGTTAAATTCGAATTTTATTCGAGTCGAATTTGAATAATTTATGGGTACTAACATATTATTTACACCTTATTGAGTATGATAAATTTTTTCTTGATTTAAGAGACTCAATAACCTATATATATATATATTTTTTATTTTTTTTGTATAAAAAAAATTATTAGTAAAAATTGAATCAAGTCACATGTACAGTTGAACAATGACATAACCCATCAAATGATCGGTTCTGAAATTGATGCAACCATGTAAAGTCGTTTACTATTAAAGTCGAGCAACTTATTATCCGGACGGGAGAGAATTTCAATGATCAAAGTAAACTAGAGCTTATTCAAAGACATGAATGTGATCCAAAGGCATGGAAAATCTGGAGTCACCCATTTACACTTGCTGCAACCATGAATGCTACGCTATGATCATGCCATTTCAAGATAACAGACCATAACTTTTGCAATGATTCTTGTTTGAGCCGAGTTTCGATATGAAGATAATCTTAAGAGGACAAGGAAAAGAAAAAAGTACTTGAAGTAAAATCAAAAAGTGTATTTTATATTTGTACTTGGACATACAAATTAAAAAGAATAAAAGAGATTAAAGAAAATAAAAGTAAAACTTATGAAATTGATCAAGGTATCTCTATTTATAGGCAGAAGACAAGAGGATAGTAGTGATGCGGCCAAATTGATATAATATTAAACATGTTAGATTGGTTTGATATATTAGATCGATTTAAATGTTTAAAATGTTTTTAATTATCTATTAATAATTTTTAATAATAAAAAAAAAACCTAATGCTATTTGTACCAATAAATGCCCCCAACAATTCTGGCACAGCCTTAATATTTACTGTTCATTTTATCTCCAACTATGGAAGCTCAATGAGTGTTTCCATTTCATAAAATTCCCTCAAAATGACTCATTTTTTTAAAAAAAAAATAAGGTCAAAGGTGTCCATCTAAGCTCCTCCCCGAACGATTTTAAGGACACATTCCCACAAAAACTGAACCCCTAGTTGACGAGGAAAGAAGCTAGCAATTGCAATCATTTGCATAATTACTACATTTTTGTCTTCTAGAGAGCCCACAATTTAGAATAACTAATGTTTAAAGAGAAACAAATTGGGCAGCAATGTAGTTAATCTCTTCCTAAAATTTTCCTTTACAAAACAGGTCTTAGATATGCATTATAAAGCGGGAAAGAAATGAGGGAAGGTAATTCTTACCACGTGATTGAAGAAAAAAATGAGTGATCTATTTGCATGATGATTCCCTTCAGTTGAATTTACAAGATCAATGTCAGCAAAACAGTAATTGACATCGATTAATTCCTTTTCCATTAAGCACCAGCCAAAAGTAAAGAGTTGAATTTTAATGGATCCCAATCATAAAACTGCTGATTTTCTGATTGCAAAGATGCAACTTATAGGTTTCATGATTCAAATCATAAAAGTATCATTAACAAGAAAAAAATTCACAATTTTTGGAACTGCTTGTCAATTTGATTGCTATTATTGTTATCCTTCCATGAAGATTGAACTGCCATGTTGGCAGGCTGCAACCAAATAAAAAGAAAAAACATAGCTATAATATTGGAAATTGTATTAAAAAAATGCAAGCAAAAAGCAGAAAACAAATGGAGATATCAATAATCACATAATCAGATCACATTGCCTCCACCAATTATAAACAGCTTGGTACCTGTTTAATATCCAAGCTAATGTTAGAACCTTTATTTACAGGGGTCCAACCCAAATGAGACATTTTCTCTGAGCCATAGGAAGGGTTTTCATGGCCATCAAGTTCAACCAATCGAGCCCCTGCGTGAGCCTTATTTAGTTCTTCAACTCTCCAGTGAACCAGAAGTGAACCTCTGGCTTCAACGATTCAAGCTAATCAAGAACAGCTAAAAGTCTCTGCAAAGAAGAAACATTACAACCAAAACATCATCACATACCATACGATCGGACTCACATCATAAAGCATCCAGAACAACATGAACTTCACCTTCCTATACACCGCCTTTTCTTTAGCAAAACCTGATAATCTCGATGGAATGGTATAGTTTCTGTCACCAGACTGATCCAAAAATAAGTTCACAAATAAGATTATACAAATTAGTTTAGTAGCAAAACTAAGCTTCCCTCACCTTGAATACCTAAGTAGTATTACGTACAAATCTACTATATTCTTTTCTTCTCGATAAATGCTCGCCTGAAAATTTAAAATTACATAAAAACCTGTAAAATATACGTAAATTTTCAAGCTAACAGAAATAGACTGAGAATTCGCAAGGCAATGTTACAAAGGAAGCTAATAAGCACTTAATCACTAGCATTTTCAAATATTAAGATAATTAATTAAGACCAATGAGCTACTGAAGTCATGGATTTAAATATGGCCCATGACCTGGTGTAGTGGCCGCTATTTAACAGTAACACTACTCTTTGTCACCGCTATTCATTGAGGTGTGAATCATCATTCACACAAATAACAATGTATCACATCCGTAAATAGTAGTATAATAAAAAATTATGACCATAACAAGATGCTAAAATTATTATTTATGCTTTTTTTAATATATTTATGAATTTTATAGCATATTAATTTTGAGTTATAATTAAAATACATGAAAAAATTATTTTTATTTATAAATATAAGATTAAAATATTATAAATTATTTTAAATATTATATATAAATATTATTATATTAAACTATTCTTTTACTTCATTTTTTAATTTCTAAAAAAATTACTATTATCTTATTCGTTATATTTGAAACTACAGGATGTGACCGAAAAATGAAACCCCTACAGGATTTTAAATCCCTTATTTGAAGCATTAAAACTATGATTTCAGTAGCCATTAAAACTTTAAAAAGAAAAAGAATGATTAAAACTAAGATAAAGCTAAAATTAAACATTAAACAATCATAACGCCGTAATCATTAAGAAAAGAGTACGATTAGGGAGAGAATTGGGATGAAGAACCTGTTTGAGGAGATTATCGGCGATTCGATAATGGAGAGTACTTTTTGGCGGTAAAATAATTAATTTTTAGTTATTAGCCATGTATTTGAATCATAAAAATATTTTTAAAAAAATATCAATATTAGTCTATCTATTAGTTTAATTTTTAATTTTAGTGATCAAAATTTAATTTTTAATAATTTTCAATGAAAAAATAAGGAATATAGTAGTATTTGATAAAATATACTTTTCTTATATGATAATCATTTGTTTTAGATAAAATTCAAACAATAAAAAGAAAAATTATTTCCTTCATTTTTTTATTCACCTTTTTCTCTTGACCCTAACACATCTAAATGCCAAAATTTCAATCGTTGGGTGTTGATTCCAAATCAGGATAGCCTCATAACATGCAATCTCCTTCAATGCAATTTCTTTACAAACATTTTGGTATGATAGTAAAAAGGGCAGTTCAAAGATTGACACTGGTTTTTTTTTTTTCAAACAGGAGTTTGATGAACACACGGAAAGAACAACTACATTACACTTAAGACCAAAAATGAAACACAAATGGATGTGGTTGTGGCTAGTGATTATTTTGGTAAGTTATGGCCTGATATTAGCAGGATGGCATAGAGAAGTTCATTCTAGGAGTCTGGAACACCTGGGAGGCACCAGTGGCTGCAATCTTGGAACATGTAAGGGGTCCTCAGGATCTCTGGTGGTCGATGAATTGAAGGATGCCCGTCTTTTCTGTAGGTTGTCATCTTGGTGATGTTGAGATAAAATACTGGAGTTTTCATTTCTGCTATTACAGATTCCAGGATGCTCATCATCCATGGATATGGTGCTAGGCTTGTCTCATTTGCTATAGGTTTTGTTTCACCATCACAGTGCCCACCAGTATCCCACTGTCCTTTCCTGATATGCCAAAGAATACAAATGATCCAATTACTATGCTATTACAGGTGAGAAATTCCATTGCAGAAAGCCCTTTTTATACCTGAAGTGAGAAGCTGAGTATCCCGCAAAGAAGACCCTGGTGCGGTTTCTATCAATTTTAGCATCAATCCCTTGTGCCCATGTCCTCAATGCCTTTGTACATTCTTCTTTTACTTCCAATTTGTTATAGACGTGGCTGCTTTCCTGGAAGTAATTTTTGCTGCATTTAACACTAAAGCCTATCAGAAACTGATGGTAATTTGGAAACTAATGGAGAAAAAATGGCTGCAGATTTTACCCTTTGCCAGTTTTCTGGTGAGTCCACCAATATACCAGTGTTGAAAACAATTATATCAGCATCCCTGTACTTAGAACCCTGAATCATGTCAAGTCTCAGTGTCTCTCTTCTGGTCCCAGTTTTATCAGAGATTTTCCATTCTTGCACAAGGAATGGTGATTTCATGAAGTCTATTGAGCACTTGTAATCATATATCATTTCAGGAAACAACATTATTTAGAAAAAAAACTGTTAGATATTAAAGCAAAAAAAAAAAAAAAAAAAGACAACAAAGAAGTAACAACAAAAACAGTTTCATTAACTAGAATTGCAAATGATGATTTCACTCACTTTGAATCTGAAAGAATAGAACCCTTGTTTCCTGAACTCACTCCTATTGGAAACTTCAAAGACTCTTCTCTTATCTTTCAATGATTCTCTCAATGCACAGACCAGTGACTCCCACATGTTCCGATTCAAAGAATCACCCACGAAAACCAGTCTCTTCCTTCTCAACATTTCCAACATTTTCCTCCCATCAAACCTACACAAGTCAACAAACATAAAAAAACAACACATCTAGCAGCAACTAGGAACAAAGAAATGAAGGGATCAAGGGTTGTAAGTTCTCTATAAATCTTGAAGAGGAGTCTCAAATTCGGACCTTGGAATTTGACAATCAAAAGGCTTCCATCAGTATGTAACGTAAGTCAAATCAACCCGGCCATTCTTGAAGCAGTTAAAAGAATTATCAACAAAGGGACAAGACCCTGGTAGGTAAACGGAGTCAGAATTATCCAAGACCCAATTACCATTGAAGATATCACAAGAAATAAGGTCTATTATCTCATAAGTTCCATCTTTTACAGAATTCCCATGAGTTCTTTCGACTGCGATAACCAAAGAAAGAGACAGTTACTTTGCAAGTCAGAGACGAGGCAAGTGTTGGAAGAAGAAACTGAAGTGAATGAAGAAATGTAGTCTACAGCAAAGCGAAGCCGAGTGGCCAAAGCTGAGGCTAATGCGGTTGGTGAACGCTCGATGAGTGATGTGGAAAGGAAGAAGAGTGAAAGAAGAAGCAATGAAATATAGAAAATATGGGTTCCTGATCGCCAGAGAAGGCATAAAGCGGCTCTTGAAACTTGCATCAAAGTGGAGATCGTGTTCTTGAAAGACGCCGTTAGGGGGTAAAAAGAAGAGAACTAGACTGGAAAAACAGAGGGAAAGGTAGTTTTAAGTTTTAAACGTGGGCCGCATTTTTTTGATATACCACAGGTAATTAAAAGGTTAACTTCCAAAGGGTAACATCAGGCACTTTTGCTTGCTTCTGAGTCTGAAGTCTTAGCTGAATTTGTGAAATAAATTTGCAACTCGTTGAAGAATTGATTTTTAATAGACGTTGAATTTCTCAGGCATCAAATTTCTTCATTTCACAATCATTGTTGGTTATCATGTTTGATTGTGGTAGATTTTCAAGTTTACTGCTGCATGGTTCACACCAAGGCCAATCTCTTATAATTTCGTTAACCCGAATCCCATACATAGTCAATGACAAAATACGAAATTCAAGAGATATGAAGACAAACAAAATCAAAGTTGTATATCCTTAAATGATGCTCGGCAAAACTTCAGTTATGTTTTATTGCCTCATTTTGAAACAGAGACATTCAAAGTAGAGGCAAGAAATCCTTCAGCCCTTTAGTGATTCGGATAATTAAACATGTTGCAGTAACTGAGTGAGCCCGATAATCATGCACCCTGTCCCAAACAAAATGTGAGTGGCTGCCTTGTTTGTACTGCTTCTCTCAGATTCAATGTGCTCTCCCACATTGAAATTACCGACACAAACACAGACTGTTAATGGTATTTGATGGAAAACCAAAAAGGAACAATGTTAAAGTTGATTTTTGAAGCTACCTCTTTCAGGACCATAGCCACATCCTGCTTGGATTGTGTCTCTAATATCCTGAACCATGGCCATGATGTTCTCTATGCAGTTGAGCACTAGGTGTGTCTGTGACAGGCAAGCTCCAATGCAATATTTATCAATGTAGTCAAGGGGAACGTCTAGGTTTCCACTTGCAGTAAACCTGCAAGTTTCCTCACAGCTGCTATTAGTCTGAAAGTTATGCAAATATAAACAAAGAAAACAATTCCAATTAAATCTTTAAGATATCCTTAAATCTTACTATAGGCACAGTCATTGATGATTGGAAAGAAATGTTCACAAAAATAATCAATAGGAAGAGGAGATATCAGATTATCAAGTGACAAATGTTAAGCCTGTTAAACCAAGAATAAGCAATCATTTCTTCTTATTGCTGTCGATTGAACATGCATGTCCGAAAACCTTACATTTTTATCATTGAAACATAACAATGCCTTGGAGACACCCGTTTGAGGCAGATCTTCATCTGCCTTCCCTGTCAAGGATTGCAGCAAAGGATTAATGCACTTCAAGATTAATGAATGATATCAAAGAGAAAAGTTTATGGTTCTTTGTCAGATACCCAAGTAGAAGAAGAAATTAGACATGCACACCATAGTTAAGGCTAAAACCCATAATTTGATTGTAAATAAGACTGCCATTTTAGAAGCTTACAGACAGTTTGAACCAATGGAAAGGAAGGCTGAATTGGAGATAATTATACAATAAATCTGTGTGAACAACCTCAGAACTATAATAGTCAGTTGTCCAATGTAAATTTTCTCACTCAGCACTAAACATAAAACCGCTTCTGTTGAAACAGTGCTGTAAATGAACCCTCTCAAAGTCGGTGTCATTGATGTACTCTGGTTCTATTGGCCGTGGCCCTGAAACCATTAATTGAATAGAATAATTTTCTTATACAAAATAAGGATTAAGGTGAGTTTGGTAAAATTGATCGGAAAAAGGGTACCGTTTGTTTGTTTTCATTGTTTTGGGAGTGCACCATATGTAAATATATTACCTATGATTTAAAATATAAAAATAATATGATTTAAAATTTTAATAAAAATTATATGAATTTGATAAAAAATCTAACGAAGAAATATCATATGCACAATTATGAATTACAACGCTTTCTCTTTTCATTAAAAATCCCTTTTACAGAAAATAAAAATAAAAACACATTCTTCTTTCACGTTGTGGTGAATTTTCCTTGTTACTTTTGGATTGGGTTTTGGTTTTAATAGAATTTCAATTCTTCCTAGTTGCTTTCATTATTCAAAACTAAAGACAAAACCAGATAAGAAAACCATGGTTAAGTTAATGGGATCTTTGAGCTTTGGGGGAAGAGACAGTTAAACTATCCCAATCAAAATAACTGACCACAAACAAAGCCTATCCTCAGAAGAAGGTTTAAGGATCATAGATATTTCTTATGGGGACCAAGAAAATGAATGAAGGATCATAGAAATTTCAGTCCCTTTTGGAATCTCATATTACCACTCACCATGGGGAGAAATGTATTGGATTCTTTGAATTATAAAAATCACAACTTTAAGCTCTGATTTGAACGCGTGATAAAAGTTTTTTTAATGCATCGGAGTCTACAAATGCAAGCTCTAACACAACGACGAAGCTCTCACCACGCATCCAAATCAAGCATAAGTGATAAGCCAATGACAGAACAATGCAAATTTTCTTTTCAACAATAAGGAATCCATTTTATTAAAAGATACCAAGTAATTCAAGTGCACATTGCAAATGTATCCAATTTCATCATCATCATGAAAATGTTATGAACATTTTCATCAACTTCTCAGACCACCTGATGAAATCTACTGCGCCTGCAACGAACATCAACAGAAATTAATCATAACTATGACGATCCGACATACTTCATTCAAGAGAAATACAATTTTAACACAAAATTTTAGTAACTCACATTGTTTTCTCGACCTGATGTACAAGCAGGTTTTCTTGGAGGTAATTGTTGGTGTGGTGTTCTCTGCGTGCACAAATGCAAACAATCCAATAAAATTATCGTTTACACAAACTTATCGAGAAATTATAAAAATTAGAATAAAAATATCAATTTTACTCATACTTAATGAAAAATAAACTTTTTATCTAAATAAAAATAAAAATGAATATCATATTATAAGGATGAATATTACATTATGAGGATGAGAATAAGAATATGCATATTTTAAATTTTTTACCGAGTATAGGAATAAGAACAAGTAATATAGCACTCACTTATACAAATACCCATAGTCTATATATATATATATAGTAAATAATTTTTTAAAATAATATAAATTGTTATTTTAAATTAATTAAAACTAATATATTTTTATTTAAAATATATATTAATATATTTATAAAAAAATTACATAAATATACAAAATAAAATTTAAAAAAAAAAACATTTTGATTTTTATTTTTTAATAAAAATTATAAAATTATCTATACTCGTTAACTTACAGGAATAAAATAAATTTAAAATATTCATTAAATATAAATATAAGAATTGATATAATATAAAAATTTAAAAATAAAAATAAAAAATATTTTATCATCTTATATCTTATTCGTTGACATCTCTAAATAAACGATAAAAATGGATCAATCGTCACAATATATATACCTGAAGCTTTGGTCTCAAAGTCTCGATTGCCACTGTTGATTTTTGATTAACTCCTGCACCTTGCTGTTTCATACTCAGACAAGAAGACAAATCAGAGCAAAAATGGTGGAAAGTTGAATACCCAACAAATAATATCCTGTTCACCCAGATTAAGTCTCTGGTTTCCAGTTCGGCTTGGGACCCTCTGACCGACAAAATAAAAGAAACAGAAAGAAAATGGACTCCAACTGTAAATTTTTGGGTCATCAAGTGTTGGACAAACATCTATTTTGTTTTTCTTTAATGTGACAATTACCTTACATAATGCCCAGTCTGCTGAATCAAAGAAGGCACGTTCATGGTCCTACATTAATTTTGTTAGCTCGTCACATCGAAGTATAATTGAATTTTGTCTTAATCTAGACGGTCAAAAGTTTTTGTTTACCTTTGAGATTAAGGGCTTCTTCTTTGGCACCAATCCTCCGTATTTCTTGGACTCGGTTGTTTCCTGTAACAATTTGAGATAAAAAAAAATGTAAAAATAAAATTTCACATCATTTTTTTATAAAAAATGATAATTAAATATTACTTTTTTAAAAACAAATAAATTAAATTTCGAATTTAAAATTTCTCTTGGTTGCAGCTTAACATCAGTTGAGGATTCTGAATAAAGTACAGTTGTACGTATAAATCCAACACTGCCGACATTTCAAAAGAATGTCTCTGACATTCACAGTACGTACAAGTTACATCCCTCTCATCACAACATTTTAACCGGACGTGTCATAATAATAGCCGTTGATTTGGTGACCCCACATGTCTACCATCCTAGATATGAGCACAGGGAATAACTTTAACACCATAAATCACGCAAAAGCAAAAAAATATCTTCTGATTGGGAATATTACAATACGCCCTTCCATTTCCAGCCAAAACCCCCCCAAAAAAATACTCAGTGAATCTCTACAGGCCCATTTTTTGGAAATAAATTTAATTATATTTCTAAAATATTTTTATTTCAATTAATGAAAGAGAATTTAGAGTTAGAGAGATTATAGGCTACACCCACTTGCATGTGGGCTCACACGTGGACTTTGGTAGTGAACATCAGAACCGTTGATTCTTTCATCCAGAATTCATCAATAATTATGGAGGGGAGTTTAAAAAAAATTAACGATGGAGATTGATGGGTTAGATGGGACCCTTAATGCTAATATATTAAACGTAATAATAAAAATGATCAAGTTTACAAAAAAGCTAACAAGAAAATACCTCATGGTCTTGGGTGCCATAGAAGTCTTCACCATGTTTGTAGTCTGCCATTTTTAACTTCCTCCTGTTAAGTCATTCAAACATCATTAATATAACCGAAAAAAAAAAAAAAACCTATAAATCGAATTCATGCTTATATAAAAATACGTGTTTTGTATATGTGTATCTGCACGCACGTGAGAATAAAAATTTACCGGAGTGATATGAAAAACAGGACAAGTAGAAACCGAGGATATAAAGAAAGAAGATGAAGGAAGGAGAAGGAAGAAGAGGGGGTCTTGGGGATTACCTTGCAGAAAGGAAAAAGGATGAAATGCAAAGAGAGAAAGAGTGAGGGAAAGGGTAGAATGACGGAAAGAAAAGAGAGAGGGATGTGTTTGAGTGACAAGGTGAGATAAAGAATAATATATTCCATGTTGTAAGAAGTAATTAGTATATATGTATATTTTAGGTTCAACAATATGAGAGAAGAAATACACAAAAATTTAATTTTTTTTAAAAAATTCATTAAGAAAATGACATCATTAATTTATTATATAACTTTTTATAAATAAATTTATAATTAAAAAAAACTTACTCTTTTCGTTTCAAAATATTTATCATGTATTAATTTTTATGAAGTTTAAGAAAAAAATTTTAACTTTAATGCATTTAATATTAAATTTTATTATTTTTTATAAAATTAAAATTTCATGATTTTTAAGGTCAAAAAAATCATAAAAATAATTTTAAAATATAAAAAAGTAAAAGTTTAAGATGTTCAACAAAATAAAATAGAATACAACTTAGGAATATCCAAAAAAAATGAAACGGAGTATAATTTTAAAATTTAAAATTATTAAATATTATTATTATGTATAAATTAATTAAATTAATTTTGAATTTAAAATATATATTTAATTATATTTATATAGGAATCTAATTTGATAGGCTTTATTTCTTTGTTTTATTCATAATTTTGGTAATTAAAATACAAAAGTGACATTTGCAAGAGTTACTGTTTATGCCGTTAACATGTCGATGTCAACCGGTCCATACGAAACTCACGCCGTACAATTTCTCACGTGCAAAATCTCCGCTTGTACCGACACCTAACCAGGGATGGCAACGGGTCGGGTCGGGGCGGGTTTTTGCTCGCCCCGAACCCGACCCGATTTTAAATATACAATACCCGTACCCGTACCCGACCCGAAAATTTTTTTATTTTTAATACCCGAACCCGACCCGACCCGACAGTGTATAAAATCAAATCCGACCCGACCCGACCCGAAATTAATAAAATATTATTTTAAATATAAATATAAAATTAAATATATATAAAAATATATATAATTAAATGTAAAATTTAAAAAATAATTAAAAAAATAAATTTTTTATATATATCGGGTCGGGTAGGGTCGGGTTTGCTTAAAACCCGACCCCGACCCGACCCCGAAATTTTTTTGACTCTACCCGACCCGACCCGACCCGATACCCGATTTTCAAAAAAAAAAAAACCGACCCTAAGGGGTCGGGTCGGGTCGAAACCCGACGGGTTCGGGTGATTTTGCCCACCCTACACCTAACTCATCTTCACACGTGTGGAATTGGTTTTTTTTATTTATTTATTGTTTTCTTTATTTGCATAACATTTTTAAAAAAGCAATTTTATCATTGTACTAAGATTGTATTTTGTCATTATAAACTGATTTTGTATTTTTATTTTGATTGATTTTTTTCATTATACTTATTTTTTTTATTTTTGGACCAACACTAACAAAAATAAAATTTTTTATACCAAAAAAAATCAATGTATAATTTTTTTATACCAAATAATAAAACTAGTATAGAAGTGTTACTGGACCAGCCTTGTTTTGTTTAAGCATTGTGAGTACAAAGTACCCTTCAAAATTTCTTCTTCATAAATAGTAGTTTAGGAAAAAAAAAAAAAACAATGGCACACCTTTTGCATTTTTTTTTATTCAAAATTTAAGGTAAAACTTTAATGAGAATTCAAAATCCCAATTCAGGTTGTAACTACAAAAAAGGTAGGAGCAAAACCCATTTATAAGGCTTCCCACGGCGGAAAGTTTGAATATGTGCGTTGTAATTTATATGAAATTCTATATTATTTAAAATAAATCGATTTTGAGTTATGATATATCTTACGTTTGAATCGAAAAAAAATATAGGTAAGTAGGGCTCATGCCTCACATTAAGTAAGCTTCTCGCGTCGAGAAGTTTGGATGTGTGCATTTTGGTTTATATAGAGATTTACGTTAACTCAAATCAATCAATTTTAAATTAATGATGTATCTTTTTTTTTTAAAAAAAAAAAAAATCCATTATAAGTATTAGCATGTTAATAATATTCTTCAAGATTAGCTCTGATTTTTGAAAATTTTCATTAATTAATGAATCGGTTCTAAAGTTGAGGATTTTGAATTTGATTCTTAAAAAGATTTTATATATATATATTCAAGGGAGAAAGAAAAGGAATGAAGCAGATGATACAATGATTCTCATGTATTGCTTTGAACAAGAGCTCTTCAGAGTTTTAGAGCTGAAGTTTTACAAACTTTAAACAAGCATATAATGCAAACCATACAAAGATTCTGAAACCAGCAAAGCTTGATCTGCTGGTTTCTCTATTATTCATAGACCAATTCTATTTCAATCAATTTTGTTTTCTTGTGAACAAAATGTATTGGGGACTCAATGACTAGTCAACAAGAAGTTATCAAAATCCAAACACTATAAGAAACTTACAATCATGACCACTTTCTTCCCTTCGGGAACGCAGTGGAACTTCCTCAAACCCATAAGATTTTTCTCACATGATCTGAGGGAGGAATCCTAAGAACGCTTATAGTAATGATAATTAACTTAGTTCTATGATGTACTCCTGACTCTTGAGAGTCTAGGTCTTGATGCCTTCCAAATTTGCTTGGAGAGAAATGGAGTGCTTGAGATCTCCAATGTGTAAACTATGTGCACCCATTGGAATTCTTCGAATTCCAAATTCATCAACCACACTGAGGTGTTTGCAGGCATGAATATTGATTTTGACTCGTTGTTTAGATCCGGCGACGACATGAACTCTATCAAAACCTATCAATTGCTTGTTTGGAGACCATTTTCCAGTGGGTGGTGGTGTAGAGAAAACAAGCAAGGTGTGAGTTCCATCCATATTGCCAGTGTTTTCCACATCAATGTGGACAAATAATGAGAGTGAGTCGCAATTGGCATGTTTCACTCTTATGGCATTGCTTGACAATGTTGAGTTTTTGTTGGTGTAGAGATTGGTGCCAAGAAGCACTGGGAGCTCAGTTGGAGCGAGGGCCACAGATTGTTTAAAGGTTGTATAGCTCATGCCATGACCGAAAGGAAATACTACAGGACCTTTATAGAAACGGTAGGTTCTTCCAGGGTAGCCTCCGGATTGTCTCATCCCCATGTTTGTCATTGGTACTTTTGCTACATAATCTTGTGGATACCATGTCATTGGCAGCTTTCCTCCTGTGAAAAATATATATATGAAATTTGCTATGAAAGTGGGAGAATTGACAGAAAAAGGTCAACGAAGTTGATGGAATCCTGAAAGATTACCTGGATTGGTTGTTCCAAATAAAACATCTGCAATTGCAGCTCCTCCAGCTTGGCCTGGATAACCAGCCCACAAAATGGCGCTTACTCGAGGATCATTTTTAGCAAATGACACATCAATTGGACCACCTGACATCAATACCAACACAGTAGGGCCTCTAGAGGCTCTAGCCACTCTGGAAACCAGCTCTTGTTGGTGTCCAGGCAAGAGCAGCCCTGCCCTGTCCCTGAATTCTGCTTCTATGGATTGATCAAGCCCCATTACAAGTACAGTTGCGTCGGCCTGGCGGGCTGCAGCCTCTGCGGCTCCAAACAGATTTTTTGCTTTGCAAGCAACATCTGAACACCCTGCCTGATGAATGGTCCTAGCATATCTTGAAATACCTTGCAAGGGACTCGTGTAACCACATGCGACTCCTGCATCAAAGAAACAAAATAATGATCATGAATTTTGCTTTTTCTGGGATATTTTTACACTGCCTCGAGTTTCCAAATTTCAATTCAAAAAGCAAATGACTCTAAATGTTTCTATCTGCCAAATTATGTACCAATTTCGTTCATCATGCTTGAAAATAACTAAGACAATTGACTGTTACCTGCATAGTTTCCTATCATTGTTACTGTAACGTCGGAGTTGGGCCCAATAACTGCAACAGTGCGATGACGAGAAGTTGACAATGGCAGAGAAGGCCCAGAATTCTTTAGCAAAACAATGCCTTGTCTGGCAGCCTCGAGAGCTAGCTGTTTATGGGACGGAGTGCACACATCTCTTGGGCCAAGGTTCCCATATGGTTGGCCTGATGGCTCCCCATCAAACATGCCGAGCCTCATTTGGACTGTAATGGTATTGGCTAGCGCCATATCAACATCAGCCTCAGCCAACAAGCCCCTCCTTACTGCCAGGTCTGTGTGGACCGCCAAAAATGGCCCACAATCCAAATCCAAACCTGCAGATCAAAATGGTCAAGCCCAAACTCAAGAATGAAATTGTCTAAATCCCTCTTAAAACTCTTAGCTTCTATTAATAATATATATATTAGGATCAAATGTTGATGCTGAAGCTGACCTGCTTTGATGGAAGCTGCAGCAGACTCTTCAGGGGTAGCAGTGAAATGTTGAGTATCATACATTACCCCAACCGAATCACAATCTGATACAATATACCTAATTGACCCAACCGAAAACAATAAAAGTAAAATCAGAAAACAAAACCACGATAATAGAACAGAAGCCATGCATGATGCACCTTAGTTGACAGAAACACACCCATTAAGGCCCCATTGACCTCGGATGGTACCCTTGAGTAGATCTGGGTCGGCACAAGTGGGCTTCCCATTGACTTGATTGTAAGAGCACATTACACTTGCAACTTTCCCTTCAACCACACAAGCTTTGAATGGCACATCATATGTATCCACCAGGTCCTGCTTGCTAACCTGCATCCATCATTAATTAGCAATTAATTATAACTTAATTTTGACCCATAAATAATCACTGACCTTAAACCTTTCTCTATTTAGCCAAAACGCTATTTGAAAGTGAGGTCACGTCAATCTTCAATGGTATCTTCAATGGTATATAATGGGGTTATTCTTTCATTACTTTTTAAGAGATGGTTTCATGAAAGATTAAGATTCTAGTCCCAACGCTTGCATTTCCTTTTTTTTATAACCCGTGAGCTTGACTTTTTATAAAAAAAAAAAAAAGCATTTTCAATATTACTCCTTTTTAATTTTCTTTTTCAATGGTCCTATTTACGAGTCCTGTTGCTAATCTAACAGCTAAAAACTACATGTGACGGCTAACATGGTCAAAGTAAACCATTTAATATCTTATTCTGTCTGCTTAAGCTAATTGAATGGTCCAGAATCCATGGCTAAATCGTGCTACTTGCTACATGTGAATGCTAGAAGATCCGTCCAAAGCAATGCAGTAGTCATTTTCAAGTTCTTACAGAGATATGGACAAGGAAAGTTGGTAGTTTGGCCGAACTTTTCAAATTTTCCCTAGTTCAGTAAATTATTCTGATATGAATTATTTCGTCTACAAAGTTGGAAAACACAAGTCAGCACGTATATATTATCTTACCCTTGCATTGAAATGGTATCGATCCACACCATTCCAATTATCAAGATCATAAGCGGTGTAATGTTTACAGCAGGCAGCAACTTTTAGGCGGTTCCCAGTGGCACTTTGGAGCCCACGGACGTAGCTAGCAGCATACTTACCGGCTAGAACTGGGTCTTCACCGGGAGTCTCTTGGCCTCGGCCCCATCGTGGGTCACGGAATATGTTCACATTGGGGCTCCAGTATGTCAAACCAGCCATTCCTCCATTGTACATTGCTCTAGCTTCATCGGAAACCACCTGCAATCCCAATAGGACAAAGTAATATTACTAAATTACCATAGTTAACTGAATTAAGCCTACTTAGTGCCTGTTTCATTGAAACATTAATTAGTATAAGCATTTATTTCTAGTTAATCAAGATTTGATCTTTAATTAATCGTGAATAACATTTCAAGAATAAAATATTAAATGCATAATAATAATATAAAAGAATACGCATTTAAAATTGTTCAAAAAATAAATTACATCCAAACAAAATCTAGAATCACTTCTTATCCTATTATAAAAAAATAATAATGAAATTCAAACTAAGAAGATCATAATACAATTAGATAGGAATTAATATATATAAATTATCGAATTGTTTTGCCTATAATACTCCAATGAATTAAATTAATTATGGAACTTTTAATACAAAAATTAAATGAAAAAAAACAATAAAGTAGATATGGTATACTTTTAAGTATGGGACCTTACCTTTTTTTATTATTTTTCTTGAAATTATGGGACCCTAACTTTTTTATTATTATTTTTCTTCTTGAAATTATGGGACCCTAACTTTTTTTTTTATTATTTTTCTTGAAATTATAGGACCCTAAGGTATCCTTAGCTAAGATGTATACGCAAATTAATTACTTGCAAGTTGGTCTCCAATCTCCAACGATCTACACAAACTCCATAACATCATTGTCATTCAGCCACCGCTAGGTTAATTTCTACTTGCTAGCTAAGCCCGCTAAACAACTACTTTCAATATAACTAATTTTTTTAATTGAAAAATCGTATTCTGAAAATTAAAAAAAATTAAATATAAATGTTGAAATATAAGTTAATTTGACGCTCAACTCATTTTTGAAATTTTAATATAATTATTATCGTTATTACTTGACTGTTTTTCGATATTTTAATTGTTGATTTTGAAAGCTTTTTCGTTGATTGTAAGTTGAGACAAAATAGATATGAATATCATAGCAAAGAAAAGAAAGCTTACCAATTTAAAGAATAATTAAATTTTATTCGATAATAATATTTATAATGTTCTAAAGAATTTTTTATCCTAAAAAAACCAAATCTAACAACCCAATAATAATAATAATAACAATATGGTTTTTATGTTCTCGTGTTTCATAGAAGCATAATAAGGATGAAGAAGACAAAATTTTAGTAAAGCAGACAATGACAAGAATCTTGAAGGTCGCCATGTCTTAGATGGAAATTTCATGGAGTAAAGGCAAACAATGAGACAATTTTAATCTAGTAACTATTAACATCACATGTGAATATAGGATATATTAAAAAAATAAAATAAAACACGTATCAATCTTTTAATCTTATTTATAAAATTAAAAAATTATACTAATAATATATAAAAAAACCAAATTCTTAATTAAAACTTTCTATTAATCATAAAAAAAATATTTGTATGAAAAAAATAAGAGAACTCTCAAAAAAGATATAATTAGCAACTAAAAGCTTTATTATTTTCAATTAATTAGTAGATTGAGTTAGACACGTTTGGAATAATTTCCTTTTTTATTATAATATGAATTTGAGAGGGGTTGATTAATAGTATAGTAATTGGTTGGAGAATAGTGACAAGCTTTATTGGCACAGTCTTTATTCTTGACCTAACTCTCAAAGGACACTTATTTCCAAATTTATTGGCAGATAAATTAAATAATGAAACCAATAAAGTGGTCCATTGGCAAGGGTTTTTGAGAACTTTATTTCAAAATAGTGTACCATTTGAAAAGGTTGCAATAGTGAAAGGTAACCCTTGTGTGGAAATTATTTATTTTTTTGTTAATAAAAGAAAGCACTCTAGCTATGGGACAAAAGCAAAAGCCAAAAAATGCCTAGGACGAAAG